GGTGTGGTGCTATTAGTAACAGTAGTACTATTTGTAGCTTCAGTTGTATTTGCTGGGAAATGAGTGGTTGTGACAGGGTGAGTACTAGTACTAGTAGTCGTACTTGTAGGGGCAGGTGTGGTGCTATTAGTAATAGTTGTACTATTTGTAGCTTCAGTTGTATTTGCTGGGAAATGAGTGGTTGTGACAGGAAGAGTACTCCTTGTTGTAGTAGGAGAACTAGTGCTCACAGTCTCAAAAGTGGTAGCATTAGTTGTAAATGTAGAAGTATGTAGAGAACTTGTCGGGAAGGTACTTGTCATAGGTGACGTGGAAACTATAGGGCCACCATATATCCAGGTAACCTCAGTTAGTTTTTCCAGGCTGATAATCTTGTCAGTCAATTGAATAGTTAGTATCTGCCAGAAAATAAGAGATAAAGTTGGTGTTTTAGAACTACTTAAACATATTTAAGCTGTACTTCAAATTATACTTTAACAAAAACTGACATATTCATTTTTTTCCAGTGAGTAATAAAAGGATATAAATATTCCTTTTCAGGTCACTGATTCCAGACAGATAAATAGAGGGATGTGTTGTGTATGTGATCTCTGTGCTGGAAATCTGTGTCTTCCCACTGCATCAGGCCAAACCACATTGCTTTCAAGTATTCGCAGCTTTGATTAAAACCTACATTTACTAAAATCTTGTTGCGTTGCCACTAGATTTTAACTTCCCAAGGGCAGGCTGGTTTCATGTTTCACCATCCCCAACACTTAGTCTAAGTGCCTGGCACATAACAGGTATCCGACAGGCTAGTGAGATTCCTAAAAAGAAGTTTTTTCAGAATTTTCCGCATCAGTATTAACCAGAAGTAATTACTTGCAGAAGGTGGTCTTGAACACAACAGTCCAGGAAAAATGTGTTGAAGTACATAATCAGAAAGGACTAGAGAGAAAGAAGCTATCTGAGTGTTCAGAGGGGCATTTTCCAAAATCCGGGTATCAGCAGGGCACTTGGAAAACAGGAATTATACAGTTACCTATTTTCACTTCTGAATGATCCCACCTAAGAGACACTGGATCATACTTAAGACAGGTCTAGCGTTCTAACGTGGGGTACTTCTCCCTCTGTACTGGTACCTCTATACTGGTAATTTGTCTTCCGCATAGGTGTCTCCTAAAGCAGACCCCGCTAGAGGGTCTCATAGGGTCTGCTATTTATGTCACTCTGTTTTGTTAACCAAATAAGTTCATCTCACATCACAGGTGGGATGTATTCACTTTGATGACTACCACAGTTGACTGCCAATTTTCACCAGCCTATAAGATCTATCAACTTGACCAGGGATAGGAGTAATTTCAGGAAGGAGGGAGAAAATCTCCAAAAATTTTTATGAGATGGCTCTTTCTTTTGTTTTAGCCTCTGCCACAGAAGCAAAAACATTTTGTTATTCTAGCCTGAGAGGCTAACTTTACTTAACACATGGCACCATTTCTGGGAAACATGTGGAAAGGATTTCCTCAGGCCGTTGAACATTGAATCCTGGACTACATTGGGAAGACATGAACATACTATTGCACATATCTCTATAACCTTTCAAATATAAGCAAATAAAAGATAGATAATAACAGTGGGGATAATTTGGCATAATAATAAACTTAACTTAAAATATGGTAATTATTCCTTTGAGACATACCTGATTGTAAGGGTCACTCTGGAAATTCTTCTCCGTGAATTGCTGGTTGTCATAAGTAAAAGTGACTTGTGTCACATAAGCAGAGTTTATCCCCCAGATTTTAATATATCCAACTTTCAGTGGATTTGAGTCGCTCAAATACTTATTGTGCATGGTCTGGATTTGCAAAATGTCCTATAAAGAATAGAAAAAATACTTAATACATCTGCTTATAGACTATACTTCACTTCAAAATGTTAAGAAATCTCAAATTAGTATTGTTGTGTTGGTTTGCTGTTTTAATTCTTAATTTAATTCTTTAATTTAATGAAGATACACTTCCTGAGTACCTGCTACAATACATTTGATAATGCCAACATTATGAAAGCTATTTTACCTATATTGTTACTAATTCTTATAAGGGTTTTGAAAAGAAAGCATCATTATCCCAGTTCTACAGATGAGGAAACAGGCTCTGGGAGTGAAGGGAGTAGCCTAATGATATAGATATGTTTGGAATCACGGTGCGTCTATGTGCATAGTACTGTGTCAGTTAGCACAGGGTTGAACAAAGAATTATGGCAAACAGTCCCTAGACTAAGTACAGTTTGCAACAAATATAGGGACTTGGCTAAATCATGAACTGATTGAGCATTCAACACAAGGGCTAAACTAATGTGGGATAAGTCACAAAGCAGGGCATGATTAAGACCTAAGTGAAAAAAAAAAGAAAGAAGAGGAAAATAAACCACATGAGACCTTTAACAATAGAGAACAAACTGAGGGTTGATGGAGGGAAGTAGGTGGGGAATGGGCATTAAGGAGGGCACTTGTTGGGATGAGCACTGGGTGTTATATGTTAAGTGATGAATCGCTAAATTCTACTCCTGAAAACAATATTGCACTGTATGTTAACTAAAATTTAAATATAAAAAAAAAGAAAATCAGAGTGAGTATTTGTCATGGGTGCCAAGAGAAAGGAAAAATCACTGTGGAATAGGGTGGTCAAGAAAGGACTTAGGAAGGACATGGAACTCCAGGGAGCTGGGAAGGATGGATGGAGTTAGAAAGGTGAAATGAATGAGAAAAGGAATGGTGTCAGGGATATGGTGAAGAAAGGCACATTCACTGAGCATAAGAGCTATATGATAGCTGATGCTGACCCAACAGGAATAAGACTGGTTATGATGTAAGATATGAAAATGATTTTATACAATAAATCAAGGAGGCGCCTGGGTGGCTCAGTCAGTTAAGCGGCCAACTTCGGCTCAGGTCATGATCTCACGGTTCGTAGGTTTGAGCCCCGCATCGGGCTCTGTGTGGTCAGCTCAGAGCCTGGAGCCTGCTTCAGATTCTCTGTCTTCCTCTCTCTCTGCCCCTCCCCTGCTCGCTCTCTGACTCTGTCTCTCAAAATAAAATAAAGACATAAAAATGTTTTAAAAATAATAGATCAAGGAGATAGTGGCAGTAGAGCGATGGTATAAACTCCTTAACTCTGATGGGCAACAGTAGAAAGAGAAATATGTTCAATTGTCTTTATGGAGAATTTAATAAGACTTTGAGACTGATTGCACAAGCAGAATCAAGGGAAATGAAGAAAAAGGGATCGAACTTGAAGTAAATGGGTGTGCTGAAGCTAGCTAGCACTTATTGATTTGGGAGACCTTACTGTTAATTGCCTAGAATTTTGCATGACAGTTGATAGCTTGAAACTGGCTAAAATGGGGGAATATTTACTTAGTAAATGCTATAAATCAGCTCAACACCCATATAACCCCATACCAGCCAGCACACCATTCATAACTTTTTAAAAAAGTTTATTTATTTTTGAGAGAGAGAGCATGAGGGGGAGGGCCAGAGAGAGGGGCGGGGGAGAGACAGAGAATCCCAAGCAGGCTGTGTGCTCACAGCACAGATCTAGGGCGGGACTTGATACATGAACTGTGAAATCACCACCTGAGCCCAAATCAAAAGTCAGATGCTTAACTGACTAAGCCACCCAGGCACCCTTGTATACCATTGATAATTACCCACAGGGAAAGTCAGAAGGTTTCATTCTTTTCAAGCCACTGATCCTTAGAAAAATCCCATCAAGTGTCACAGAGAAATAAGAATTTATTCATCCCTTGTTTGGAATAACAAAGAATGGAATTTTAGAGTTAAAAACTATTTAGAGGAAATGTAATGTTTTATCATAAAGAAACACATATTAAACAGGGGAAGTGCCTTCTCTAGGTTAAATAACTAGTTAGTAGTAGAAAGAGAACTAAAATCTAGTGCTTCTAAATCAATGCGAGCCATATACATAATTTTCATAGCCACATTTTTTAAAAGAAAGAAGAAACAGAAATTTATTTAAAAGTACATTTTATTTAACCCAATATTTCCAAAATGTTATTATTTGAACATGTATTCAATATAAAAATATTAATGAGGTATTTTACAACCTTTCAACTATTTCAAATTAGGATGGCTACATTTCTAGTGCTCAATGGTCACATGTGGCTAGTGGCTATCATACTGGCTATTGCAGTTCTAAGATACTCTCTCAATCCTGGGTACCATGTTTTAAGAGAAATCTAGACTAATTGCTTCTGGAAACCCATAGAAGCATGAAACAGAGGAAGTGTAAAGTTAGCCTGCAGATGTATAATCCCAAGAGAAGACAGAAAGTATACACAGCAGACATCTTCAAATACCTGAAGCAGTATTATGTAGAAAACAGAACAGATTTGTGTTACACTATGTCTTAAATGCAAATTTAATAGGTAAAAATTATAGAGAAGCAAATTCCAGGTCTGACACAGAATGATTATTTAACATGCCTGGTAGACTGGTTATTCGTTCTTCCCTATTCATATCCTTTTCTATGTAATTTTGGCAATTCCCTCCCTCTCTGGATGGGGCATTCCATTCCACCTTTGTTTTTGAGCTTCACCATCTAACTCTCCCTTGCTGATCGGATAGCAGTCAACTTGCTGCAAATTGGAGATTTTAAAAAGTGCTCAAGCATTTCCATTTCCGTTTTTGCCCTCTTCCACAGTCATAACAAGGTCATGACCAGACCTGCCCATAAGAGCATCCTAGGTCATCAAAGAGCCAGCTGACGACAGGTGAATGAGCACAACCAGGGTCATTCTAGCAGCCCAACAGTTCCATGACCAAGCACAGATACATGTGACCAGCCAAGATCAGGCAAGTGCAGCCCAGAACATCTGAACACTATAAACTCACAGGCTAAATAAGTACGTATTGTTATGTGCTGCTGAAGTTTTGAGATTGTTTGTTATACACCATTGTTATGCAATAGATAACCTATCTAGCATTTATCCTGCAAAATATTATTAGCCAAGAAATGCTGTCTCATCCCAAGAAAACATACATTTTTTTAAGAATTATTTTTTAATGTTTATTTTTGGGAGAGAGACAGAGACAGAGCACGAGTGGAGGAGGGACAGAGACAGAGGGAGACACAGACTCTGAAGCAGGCTAAAGGCTCTGAGCTGTCAGCACAGAGCCTGGTGTAGGGCTTGAACTCATAAACCATGAGATCATGACCTGAGCTGAAGTTGGATACTTAACTGACTGAGCCACCCAGACACCCCAACACATTATACATTTAAGGATTCATTTTGTAACCAGCACTAATTAATTATATGTTTTTTTTTATAGAATCATGGAATATTAAGTAATTGTTAAAATAAGTACTATCCTTATATTAATGTAGACAGACCCAATTTATAAAGGTAAAGGCAGGAAGTTTCTCCTACTAAGCTGTAGGGTATTATTTTGATACAGTTAACTGATAATGTTTAACCTGTAGCTAATTGGAAATGGAATTATAAAATTCAATAAAATAGTCTTACCTGAGCTGCTATAAAGTTTGCCAAGAAATAGTTTCCATTTTCATAGGTATCTGCAATCAAGAAAAAAAGAGTAAGCGACTCTACTTGTGACTTTAACTACAGCAGATAATGTTGCATATGGTCAATGGGGTCACAATTAGTGATCAGGATAACCATGACCTCTCTGAGAAACACCAAGGATAATAGCCAAGGAACTGTTTTACCCCAGGGTAGGGTGGGGGTGTGCATATGGAAGAGGATGTTTCAAGTATGGATCAAGTGGTTATAAAACTGGAAAATCTTGGTTGTTCTCAGAATAGATACCCCATATGAGGAAATGTGGAGACACGTGATTGCTTTTTATCTGTGCTGACAGAGCAACTCATGAGAGTTGACATGCCTGTGTCAAAGCAGAGGACAGTGGTGAGGAATTCAGGCTCTCAAGTCAGACTGATGTGGATTCAAATCCCTGCTCTTAAACTTAGTTGTTGTACAAACTCAGGCAAGTAAGTTAACATTTTATCGCTTGTAAATGGAGATAATAGTAGTACCTAGCTCATGGCATGCCGCATGAGCCAAATATGAGCTCAAAATTTATTGTTCACTGTCACGATCAAAGTCATCATCATCTGCATCTTCATTAGTCTTCTCTCCTTGCTCTTAGATCATCCGACCACAGTGCTCTAGTTCCCAAGCCCTCCTCCCTCTACAAAACTTACTCCATCAGTTCTTCCCCAGACCCTCTCTGCTCCTCCAGACTCCAAATATGCTCCAAAAGACTCCATTCTGACAAAGCCTTTATGTGACTCTCTCTCTATCAGGTAACCACATCTTCCTTTTAGTGATAGCTTATCTCAAAAATGGTAGCCTCTGTTTGTTATGTCTGTGTACTCATCTCATAATTCAGTCCTACATTTCAGTGCCTATGTTTCTTTTCACTGATTCTGATCTTTTCAGAGTGACCAGTGACACAATATATTAAATCTAAATATTTCTTCCTGATATTCAGGTTTTTTACACCTTTCCCCATGCATCCCCTCCTTGAAATCATCCTTAGTAGTTGTCTACTTTACTCATTCTCATGTGGCTTCTATAACTTCTATTTCTTAAAGGTAAGTTTCATTTCATGTTTTGTTCTTACCCTTATACATTCTTTAATTAACAACCCTGCCACCATGAGCAACAAAGAATTATCTAGCCCCAAATGTTAGTACTATCAAGGTTGAAGGAATCTGCTAAAAAAAAAAAAAATGCACTTTTGAAAAAGAAGGAAGTTGGAAAACTCTTGCTTCCTGATTTCAAAATTTACTCAGAGCAACTGTAACTAAGACTGTGGTACTGGTTGGGGTGCCTGGGTGGCTCAGTCCATTAAGCGTCCAACATCGGCTCAGGTCATGATCTTGTGGTTTATGGGTTCGAGCCCCGTGTTGGGCTCTGTGCTGACAGCTCAGAGCCTGGAGCCTGTTTCAGATTCTGTGTCTCCCTCTCTCTCTGCCCCTCCTCCACTCATGCTCTGTCTCAAAAATAAATAAACTATAAACAAAAATTAAAAAAAAAGACTGTGGTACTGGCATAAGACTGAATATAGTATATGCATATGTAAATATATGTAACTATGTGTATATGTACATGTAAATATATATGTATATATAAATATATATGTGAATATATATGATAAAGATTTATTTCTGTGTCCATAATTCTATTTATGTTTAACATATATAATATATAAATGTGTGTACCTATATATAAAATATACATACACCTTCATATTTAAAATCAATTTATTTTCATCAAGGGCACCCAACAATTCAATGGTAAAGAACAGTCTTTTCACCTATTATGCTGGGACAACTGGATATCCACATGCAAAATAATGAACTTAGACTTCTACCTCATATCCTATACACAGATTAACACAAAATGGATCAAAGATCCAAATGTAAGAGCTTAAAGTATGTAACTCTTAAAATTCTTTTTTTAAACGTTTATTTTTGAGAGAGTATATTTTCAGCAATATAAAAAATTACGCATTTTCTTAAGTAAATGAAAGCAAAAGAATATAGCAACAATATTATTACTTTTTTGTAGTTTTCTGTCTTTAAAATATTTTCTTTAATGACAATATATTACCCTCATAATAAAGAAAATGAAAAGGAGGATATTATTAGTGAAAAACAAGCTATAATTTCACAAACTGTGACCTGTTACAAGATTAGAATGTTCTCGTCTACATTAATAAGGATTGGAAAATGGCATCAGTTGATAACAGCATGTCCCTATATCTATAAATAGATGTCTAAGGAGGGGCGTCTTGGTGGCTCAGTCAGTTGGGCATCCGACTTCAGGTCATGATCTCCCAGCTTGTGACTTTGAGCCCCGCATCAGGTTCTGTGCTGACAGCTAGCTCAGAGCCTGGAGCCTGCTTCAGATTCTGTGTCTCCCTCTCTCTCTCTGACCCTCCCCTGCTCATGCTGTCTCTCTCTGTCTCTCAGAAATAAATAAAACATTTAAAAAAAAAAGATGTCTAAGGAAAAGGATGCTCTGATTATAGTGACAAACCCCAATTATCTGAGGTAGCACTGTCATATCCCTAGATTGGGGAAAGAAGGCACACAAAGTAATATTTCATTGATAGAAGCATCTTTTTAACAGTACTTAATACCCTACTTCTGAGACACCAAGAAATTTTCTGAGCTCTAATTTGTCTCCTCAGTGAAACTACTTAGGAGGAAAGGGGTGTCTGGTTATAGATGGCTGGTCCAAACAACAAAGCCAAGTCTGTGATCCACTGAGAACAGATGACATTTGCATCCACACTTTCATCAGAGCAGGGCAGTTAGTTATACAGAGACACATCACCCCTGGCTGACTCCGTAGCATCCTGTTGCTGAACCGCAAAGCTAGGGACCATACACTGTTCCACGGTAATTACAAGGCAATATAAAGAGCAGGCAAAACTCACAAACGTTCTCCCAGCACATTTGCTTTATTAACAGTGGCAGAAACAAGTTTAGAGATAGATTTCCAGTTCATGTCAATTCTATCCTGAGCCATGGTTTTTCTGCATGGTGTGGGGAGACCCTGGAAAGCTCATACTCACCAATGCTTTGTCCATCGTCCCAGAATATCTGACCTTCAGCTTTCCCATTGTCATCCAAGGCAACTATCAATCCCAGGAATTTTTGTCGACTATGAAAAAAATAAAGGAGTTATTTTTCTCTAGATTATAGGTTGTAAGAATGAAGGATGGTTGCAGTTGAAAATATTACTCACCCAGAACAAAAAAAAAATTAATGCATTAAGAATGCACATAAAGTTCTAAAAATTGGTAAAATGAGATAAAATACAAGACACTTAGAAGCAAATAGATTATAATTAAATTGAATGAAACATGGTATAACTTCAACTTTCAAAAATCAAAAATTGCTCATAATTAAAAATGTATCTTCTTTACAAAAGAGCTTATTGTATGCCCCTTAAATATTAAAGTTTCCTAGATAGTTTAAAAAGTAATTTTGTGGGGGCACCTGGGTGGCTCGGTTGGTTAAGCATCCGACTTTAGCTCAGGTCATGATCTCACAGTTTGTGGGTTTGAGCCCCTCATTGGGCTCTGTGCTGATAGTGTGGAGCCTGGAGCCTGCTTCGGATTCTGTGTCTCCCTCTCTCTCTGCCTCTACCCCACTCATGCTCTGTCTCTTGGTTTCTCTCTCTTTCAAAAATAAATATAAACATTAAGAAACAAATAATTTTGCTTTTGAAAATTTTACACATAAATGTATATTATATAACATATAAAAACATAAATACCATTAAAATAAGATGTACTTAGATGTTTGTCTATGTAAATATATTTTGCAGATAGAAATGCATTCCATCTCAACGGATGTATAGGCAAACTAATTTTCATTAAGTGCAGTCATATTTAAATTATTTTAAGTAATAAAAGAAAATATTTGTTTGAAATTTTGAGGTGATTTCCTTATAGTAGAGAGTTATAAATAATTATGGTAAATAAATACCAAATATGTATAATCAATATCCTTTAATTTGAATACATCTCAAGATATTTAATTTCTTGATGATTTAATTTTTTAAGTGTATTTATTTACTTTGAGAGAGAGAAAGAGAGTGCATGTGTGCACACACACAAGGAGAGGAGGGACAGGAGAGAGAGAATCCCAAGCACGCTGTGCTATCCACACAGAGCCCAATCCGACAAACCATGAGACCAGGACCTGAGCCCAAACCAAGAGTCAGATGCTCAACCGACGGAGTCACCCACACAGCCCTTAAAGATTTAATTTTTTTTAATGTTTTATTTATTTCTAGGAGAGAGAGAGAGAGAGAGAGAGAGAGAGAGACAGCGACAGTGTGAGCAGGGGAGGGTCAGAGAGAGAGGGAGTCACAGACTCCGAAACAGGCTCCAGGCTCTGAGCCGGCAGTCAGCACAGAGCCCGACGCGGGGCTCGAACCCACGAACCGCGAGATCATGACTTAAGCGAAAGTCGGACGCACAACCGACTAAGCCACCCAGGCGCCCCTAAAGATTTAATTTTTAATAATTAATATGAACTTGTTACTCATGATCTTTTTGTGAATTAAAAAATAAACACTTAAAAATGAAATATATGAACTCTAATTACTTGTATATTATAAGTAAAATGATAAGATGTGAATTCCTTAGGAAGAAAACCACCCAACAGCCCTTCAATAGCTTCCAGATTGCTATAAAATAATATGCAAAGTACTTGTCCTGGCATTTACAACCCTCCAGGATCTGATCCTAACCTGCTTGAAGTTTATTTATTTCATCCCTCTCCCTTCTCTACTCTCCAATTAAACTGAATGGTTTACTCTTCCCCAAACCAAACTCACTTTTCATCCTTGGTTCTTTAATACTTTCAGAATATTTCTTTCCCTGTCTTCATATATTCAAATCCTACTTATTATTCAAGACTAAGCTCACAACCACCTTTCATGTTAAACCATGCTTTACCCTGCAAGGCGGAGTTAACCTCTCCCCTTTTGAATGGTTATTTGTCTTTTTATCTCTGCTTCTCCTAACATAATGCGTTCTTCTTAATTTAATAAACACACACACAAATCAAAATCTAACTATATAAATATAAATATACAACCTATCCTGAGTTGACCAAAGTAGACCTGGGAAGGAGTACTGAATCATCCTTGGATTGCCATCCAATCAAAGAGCTCATTAATATCCCAACTTTTTTAGTAGTGTGGAAAGAGGTACTCGGTACTGCCTTAAGAAAATTTTTGTTCCTGGCCTTGGACACAGAGCTACAGATAAAAGTTCTCCCCAGGACTGATTGCATGAATGCATCCTCCCCCATATCCCACTCAGAAGGCATTTACAGAATCAAATCAATGAAAGGTCTGTAATTCGGTTTGTTTATCCACAGAGCCCTGGTGAAGGGGGTTAGCCCCCTGCGAAGTTGCCTCATTATGGCAAAGGGAGGCCGGCAATACCCCGGGTCCTCTTTACCTGGAGTGAGTGTTCATTGCAGGCTCTTGCCAAGGCAGGATGTAGCCTCCTCTGATGTGTACGTTGATGTGGTCAAGAGGAGCCTCCAGGGTTCTCCACTCACCTGTTGACGTATTGCCAGATTCCTAGAAGAAGGAAGATAGGCAAGTAAGGATGACAGATAAATTGATGAAATGAAAAGATGCATGCTTTCATACGGGTTTTTTCTTTCTAAGGCAGCATGTTGGAAAGTCAGCAAGAAACCACAAGTCAAAGGAGGAAAATCTCTGATTTTCAGCATTGTTAAAAACTCTGCAAAGCTACTCTTTCCTCTGTATTCTCCAGAAAAGGTGGGGAGGGCAGTTAGAGAAAAGGCAATGTGCTACGGGATGTCAGATTTTACCAACTTATACTTTTGTGGATAAGCAAAAGGTTTCAAGATTAAGCAAATCTTGCTTGGTTGAAAGGTTGAAAATTATTGCCTTGGAAATTATGTGCCTCAAAGGCAAGAGAGAGCGCTGGCCACCCCTCTGGCCAGCATGGACCAATCTGGTTCTTCACCAAACAGGTCTCTTCTTACCGTGCTGTAGTCGTACCAGCGGGCTCTGGGGAAGTAAGCCAAGACCTTAAACGTGTTCTGAAACAGAAAATCAACACGTCATTACATATATTCTAATAACTTAATCTCGATTTTAAAAATTCTTTCTGTAGAGGTTGGACTAAAAATGGTAATTTTATCAATGGTTTTAAGAGTTTGGTAAGTGTAGGGGCACCTGGGTGGCTCAGGCAGTTAAACCTCCGACTTCGGCTCAGGTCATGATCTCACAGTTCATGGGTTCGATCCCCACGTTGAGCTCTGTGCTGACAGCTCGGAGCCTAGAGCCTGCTTTGGATTCTGTGTCTCCCTCTCTCTCTCTGCCCCTCCCCCACTCACACTCTGTCTCCCTGTCTCTCTAAAATAAATAAACATTAAAAAACAAAAAAGAGTTTGGGAAGCATAGTTAAAAAAAGATCAGGGAAAATTCTTCAGACACATAGAAAAATCCATTTTTTAAAAAGGTAAACTTTACAAAGATGCGGGGCAACAAAAAACTAAAATGAAAAATCAGGGGGGTGATGAAGTTGTCATTAATGGAGATTTTGAACGAAAATGATCTTTTGGGGCTCAGTTGGTTAGGTGTCTGACTTTGGCTCAGGTTATGGCCTCATGGTTCATGGGTTCGAGCCCCGCTTTGGGTTCTGTGCTGACAGCTTGGAGCCTGGAGCCTGTTTCAGATTCGGTCTCTCTCTCTCTCTCTCTCTCTCTCTCTGCCCTTTCCCTGCTTGTACACTCTCTCTCTCTCAAATAAATAAATAAATAATGAATAATAAGTAATAAAAATTTAAAAATTTTTGTTTATTTTATTTTTTTAATGTTTTATTTATTTCTGAGAGAGAGAGAGACAGCATGAGCAGGGGTGGGTCAGAGAGAGAGGGAGACACAGAATCTGAAACAGGCTCCAGGCTCTGAGCTGGCAGCACAGAGCCCGACGTGGGGCTTGACCACATGAACTGTGACATCATGACCTGAGCCGAAGTCAGACGCTCAAATGACTGAGCTACCCAGGTGCCCCAAAATTTTGTTTATTTTAAAAAAAATATTTAAAAAATTTTTAAATTTATTTGTTCTAGACAGTTATTTGCCATAAAATAGTGAGTGGGACAAGATGATCTTTAAAACGCCCTTCCTGTACTTTAGATTATATGACTGAGAGTTTCTGATCGATGATGGAAAACTCACACTTTCCAGCACGGGGCTGATTAAGATGGCAGGGCCCAACATAAACTGATGGTCTATATCCCATGTTATGTTGTCATTTGTAAACCTTAAAAAAAAAAAAAAAGGATGAAAAATCCAGGCAACTGTTAGGACTTCTGCAGAAGACCATCTGTGAGACGTGGCCGGAACTGCTGCTTGGGGACACGGGCTGTACTCACTCGTGGAGAAGGGGTCGGACGACAGTGCTGCCCTCAACGTGAGCTTTATGCATCAAAGTGTAGAGGTAAGGCAGCAGGGTGTATCTTGTCTGAAGGACTTTTCTTGAGTACATCTTGAAGGTTGAATCCCAGGCCACAGGATCTTGTCTCTAGAGAGATGAAGGCACGTGTGGCTGACACCCTTTATGCCATTGTAATGGTGTCAGAAAAGGGTCAGCAGGCACATATCTCAGTGTCTGTGACACAGATCTCACCTCTCGTTTCTATCCTGCCCTTTCTCTTGCCCCTGCTGTCCCCCTAAACTAGTGCTTCTTGCTTCCCACTGTTCACCGTGGGCTCCTAAGCCTCCTGCACAGTGTGGCCTTGGCCCAGCACAGGTCTAGAGAGATGGGTCTTGATGCCCACTGACGTAGCTTGGATGGACTTGAGTATAATTAAAACTTTCTAAAGGAGATGACCTTCTTTTCTTTTAACCCCATAGGGAAACCCTTCTTTCCTCACAGGCATGAACTCCCCCCATCCCCCAGAGATAAGCAAAAGCGGATTCTTGAAAATTGCTTAGAACTCTGGGGTTGTGAACTCTGGGGGTTTTCTAAGCAATGGAGGTGCTGATTTATGACTTTTCCTCAGCAAGTAAGTATGACACTTTGGAGGGTTAAAGAGAAGTGATTCAAGGACACAAAACACCATGGCGTCCACTGCTGCCTCACCCTTGTCCCGATGGTGTTGTGGTTTCTGGAAAATGGGTAAAAGGCCCCCAGCTGCATCCAGCGAACACACATCTCATATTCAGCATTTCCAAAGAACCCACAGATATCTGCTCCTGTCTGAGGAGACACAAAATCAGAGCATGAGGTGGGACTGCCATGGGCCGCAGGCACGCTGGCATCCAACTGAATGATTGATAATGGCCCCAACACAACTTACATAAGATATTCCAAAGAGACTGAACTCCATCATGCCTGCAATGAGAAGATACAGTTGTGTTGGGTGAAGCAGCCCTTCCGGGGGGGAAGTTTGACCTGTCTCTTCCATACCCTATTTGGAAGCCCCGGGCCACTCATGATGAAAATATCAAAAGATGGGTATAGATTAACACTCCCACCCACAGAGAGAGAATTCAGCTCCTGCTCCTTCCACTGCCCACATGCATCATGACTAGATGTAACCAGCGTGGCTACAGAACACATGATCCAGTCCCTCCCTGCCAGCAGAGGCCCCTGGGAGGAGGCCCACGCACCAATGATAGACTTCCTCAGCTGGTCCCACGCGGCCGTGTTGTCTCCCAGCCAGTGACCTCCCCAGCGGCCAGAAGAGGGGAATGTGGAGCGGGTGATGACCACCCCTCGCTGTCCCGTCACTGCCCGCACAGCTCTGGATGGAGGGGAACAAGGTGGTAAGTTGAGGGTAAATTTTGAGGATGGACAGTCATGGAACTTCATTACAGAGAGTAGCTTCAGCCTGGAGTAGGAGGCAGCAATAGTGTTCCATTTGGAGCCAGAAAGCTTTTTCCCTGGAAGCATTTGTTATTTCAAGGTGATGCTAAGGTTCACAGAAAGACCACTGGAGATCTATCATCATCTAAATGTGGATTTCCTTTCTTTAAAAAAAAAAAAAAACTGAATTAACTAGTTGCCTACATAGAGGTGGTAGGAAGGAGTGGAGTGAGGGGGAACAAAGGTGTTTATGGAACAATTACTCTAACCCAGGTATTATCCTGGTCACCCCCATATACACTGCCCCACAACCTCAAGAAGAAGATTTCCTTGGCCTCCTTTTACTGTTAGAAAATTTAGGCTCAGAGAAGTCAGACAATTTGTCAAAGGACAATTAAGAGCAAGGAGGCAGATCTAGGATCCAAATAAAATATATATGACTGCAGCTCTTTAATAATATTCTCTCTACTACACTAGTCCTCACTGGGTCAGATAAAGTTTACACACAAGGACAGATATTCACAAAAGATGCTCAAATATCTCTCTATGAAAGGTGGATCCTCTGCCTGTAGCTTCAGTGAGAAAATAAAAACAATTGTGTGAGATTGCAAAATCAATGGAACAAAAGGGGAAGTCTATTAACAGATCCTTATACATAATGCAATCCACATATTTGCTGAAGAGAGTATTACAAATCAATAGACACCGATGAATTATTCAATAAATGATGCCAGGAAGAGAGGTTAGCTACCATGGCGGGGATTCATCCATTTATGTCACTATTTCACTCCAAAGTAACCATGCACATGGATGGACACACACACATGCACATACATACACACATGTTCAACAAATAATGTGAAGGCCTGAAACAAGGCAGGGATACAGAGGAAGGGTAGATATGTCTGATGCAAAGAGCTCAACTATCACTGACCATTTCAGAGCCCTAGAAATTAACCAGCCATAGAAAGAAATGAAAATCATCGATCCAAGAAAAACAATGAAGTCTTGGCAAGACAGTGAGGTCTGTGGCATTTGAACCTGGACTGTTTCCAGCTGATGCCATCCCTAGTTCAGTGGTTCCAAAAGCCAGCAGCCTCAGAGGTCTGACCTCTTTGGGGGCTCTGTTAAAAGCACTATGCCCAGAGCACAATTAATACTGTTTTCTAGCTTCCATCCCCCCAGAAAAACTCTATTCCCAGGGTTTCATGGCCATTTGATTGGACTCAGAGCTCAACTCAGCAGGGAGGAAAAAAACCCAATCCAGGAATTACCAAAATAATAACAATTTTCTGGCACCATCACAGGGACTCAGGCTGTGGTTCAGTCAGGACAGACACAGCTTGGCTGGTTTTAGAGCAAATCCTGGAGAATAAGGACCATGCATGTTTGCAAGGCTCCTACATATTCCTGGGGATCAAAAGACTGCACATGCCCAAGGCTCTGTGCACGCCCAGGAAAGAGCGATGGAAGGAGGAAGTTCCAGTGACTCACTCCTGGCTGAACTGAGGTCCCGAGTAAGCAGGAAGTGAAAGGTAATGCCGTCTTAAGAAACTCCTCAAGTTTGAAGGTGTGGCTTCTCACACTTATCCCCTTGGCAAGGGTAAAAGACATAGAGTCAAGGCATCTAAGGTGAGCAAGAAGGCTTTAACGTTCCCTTTCAGTCTGGCAAAACTTGAGGCAGTCTTTTATTATTTTCTTTTAAGTTTGTTTAAGTCAGCTCTAGTGTGAGGACTGAACTCATGACCCCAAGAGTCTCATGCTCTTCCCGAGCCAGCTGTTCGGGGAACACACTCACTCGTAGGTGGGTCTGGTCTGGGCCCATCCGTACAGGCTGTGCACATCATAGTGCCGCACCGGCGAGCCATCTGGCAGGAACTGCTGACTCTCCATGCACAGGGTCTTACTGCTCAGGCCCTTGTTCCTGGACTCCAAAGCTGAACAGAAATGCCGAGTTACTGCCCAAACAACTTGCTCTGTACATTCACTAAAATTGCCCATTGTCTTGGTATTTCTCCATTTCAATCAACGACTTTGTTGCCAGTGACAGTTCCAATGTCAAGAATTATTGTCTATAAAAACAACACCCTGTGACATTACAGTTAATGAATGGTAAGGAGAGCGTGTAGAGCTAGGAAAGGCATGCTTCGTCTTCTTCTGATATTTATAGAGTACTGTCATCACACACTTACCAGCGCTAATAAACTCTTCTGTTGTTATGTCTATTTCTTCCACTAGATGTTAACATTCTCAAGGGAATGGGCCTTTTCAAGCAACCATCTTAAGGTCTTTAAATTTTCTGATTTGTTAGTACTTGTCTGATAGGCAAATAGTAAGGGAGGAAGGAGGAAAAGGAAGGAAGGAAGGAAAGAAGAAAGGAAAGGAAGGAGGGAGGGAGGAGAGAAAGGCAGTCAGGAGCTGGTGAGCAATGGACAGCATAGCAGTGACTCAGACCTCAAGAAACTTAGATTACAGATTTTGTCTCACAATCTACTGGTAAGAAGGTGAGTCGCTTCCTTCCCTGGGTTTCTGTACTACAGGACTAGCAGGGCCTGTCCTTCATGAAGTATCTATGGACATGGGCAGAAAGAGTGCAAAGCCGAGATTTTCATTCTCTAATGAAAAGACTCTGTGGTGTGTGTATGTGTGTGTCTGTGCAAGCATGCATGTACCCACGCATGTATATACCAGGTTATTTAAAGTTAGAGCAATCAGCTCATAGTGACCAATGTAATCATGTAGTGCTTGGTTTCTTTTGATAGTACATCATGTCATTTCTATGCCTGATTATCAATTTACACTTGTTCAAGATTATTCTACTTGGGATTTTATGTCACGTGTACAAGTGTTTTCTTTCTCTAAAATTAAGCTTCACTTTGACAATAAGAGGAAAATTTTCAGAGTTTTTGAGCTGGGAAGTAATTCGAGGAAGTGATCAATTTACATACATGGCATATAGGGTGGGTTATTAAGAATTCCATCGCTGCAGCCCCTGACAGATCCATCCACAAAGTTTGATGGCTCATTCATGTCCTGCAATGAATTCACGAGAAAGATTCTGTGATGTCAGAGGCAGTGTGGTCTTTGCTCTGGAAGACACCGACCTCACGGAGATGAACATGTCCTATTTAAGGCCTCAGCTAGTCACTCCATGGACTCTATTTCATCTAAGGGGTTGACCCATGAAGGACTCTAAGAATCCATGTTGGTCTCAATAGATGGTCAAACTCCTAGTTTACCTGGCATGTTTAAACTTGTGAGGATTATTTCATAGTGGCAAAAATATGGAGATTATGCTGGATCCATGACCTAAGAGATTTCTTGATCCATCTCCCCACACAAGAAGCCCAACTTTGTTTTCCTATGTGTGAATTACTCACTTTTTATCTGTGGCCAATGGTTGCTATTATCTTCCCCTACTCTTTCTTAGTCCAATAGCTTGGACTGATTCTGACCCAAGCAGAAAATACTATCTCGCTTTTTGTAGTACATGCAATCCTGAAGAGTTGTGGATAACTCAGAAACAGAGCTGGAAATCAAATCATGCTTGGAGGGATTTATTACACAATTGCAAGAAGTAGTGATTCCTGAAGTGAATGTTCACTGCCTACTTTATTAGCAGAAAAGTTAAAGCTTTGTAAAGTGGACTACCTTAAATGGGCCATCTAAGGGCAAAGGCAAGTATTTGGAGAACTCTTCACTATTTTGAGTTTTTCAGCTATATCTTCCCTCCAGCAGAACAAATATCCCCAAGTAATCAGTCTCCCTATTGCTCAGAGCTATCCACATCTCTTTACTATTTGCTTTGTCTATTTGGGCTAATCTTTCTTGTGTCTGCTCTGCGCCCGTCCATCCTGAGGGTAGTGGCCAGAGAAGCCTTAGGGCTGCCAGTGGGCTTACATGTTTGTCTCTGGATGGATAATGAGCTTTCAGCCTAGCCCAGACCCGTGAAGCTGTTGACAGCTGGCCTAGAATATGCTCAGGATTTCGAGCCATTGGACAGTGGTAAAAGAAACTGAAACACTGATATGCCTCCCATCCCTAGAAAAACACAAATAGATATATGTCCCAGACACATTTGAGGAAGCCCTGCTCTTAAGCCCAACTGACACGTGTAACAAACATCTGAGCAGGCCTTTGAAGATGAGCCTGCACCAGCACCACGGTGAACATCTATTTTCTCTTGGATTCATGACTTGTTGGCCCCAGTTCTGCCCTGATGCACAGAAGGGCACTCGGGCTCCCCTAGCATTAGCTTCTGGGTAGTTTGGCCAATGGGAGGCACCAGCCAGTGATTGGAGGGTGGGAGATAAGATAAACTGGGGTATTTATTCCTCTCCCTCTTTCTCTGGCAGCATCTCCAGTAGTGGGACATCTCTTCCATGGACTCCAGCTTCTGCAGCATGTTTCTGAGAAGACCCACAATCATCTCTTTGTCTCTGGAGGTCCAGCACCTTAATTCTGCAAGTGTCCCTCTCATTCTTCCACCCTTAGCTCTCTGCTTTGCCAGTCTTGAAAGTGCCTCTCCATGATCTGACTGATAACGTCCCCAAAGAAAAACCACCATGGGGCACTTACAATCCACAATCCATCAAACTTCAAGCTCTTCCTTGGCTCTTGAGGGTTCATATAGAGCTCTTGTATTTCCTTCTTCCACCATGCAGCTGTGCTATTACGTAAGAAGTCAGGAAAAGCAACGTAGGCTCTGTAGAGCTGTGAGAGTAATACACAATTGGGTGTTTGCCTGTCTGGGAAGAGGGGGTCTTGGGACAAGGAAAGGACGATGAGCAGGTACGTGTGCAAGACACTGCCCCACTCAGGGTCTGACCTAACCTCAGCTCTGCTGTTGCTGCTGCAGAGTTTACTGTGAGCACAAAGAGATCAGAGAAGGCTGATTGCATTCTTTATTCTCCTAGAAAGAGGTTTGAGAGTCTTAAATCCCCTTTAAACATGAGATTTGTTTTTATGACTAGGCCTTTAGTCATATGAATTGGAAAATTAACTGACTGTGTCTAAATGATCAGACTTTAGAAACACAAATTTTTTTTTTCCCAATGGCCAAATAAAGGAGACCAGTCAGCCAGGGAATAGTGAGCTGCAGAGTGTAGGGGATGCTAGATGTCCAGGCTGATATAACAGCAAGTACTGAGATCAAAACCACTATTTCTTCAAACTGGCTGCCGCATTTTTTTACATGTAGACAATTTATTTAAAAAAACAACAACAGTGCATTCATAACCTCCCCAGTGAAAATAGCCTGGACTTTCATTCATCATTTTTCAGGGAACATTGGATTTAAATAAAATGCAACCCATTACAGGCACATGTGTGAAGATATATTTCATTTGATTTCCTTCTACTTATTTCCAGATAAGTTGTTTATTCTGTTTTCTGTTTGAGGATCTCCTTCTACCAAGAAATTATCAGTTGACAAGAATGCTCAAGGAGTTGCCTTAAACAAGCACTGGGATAAAACTCATAAGGATCCAGATGTTTATTGCAATGTGGACAAAAATCTGCATGTAACTATACCTTAACTTGAGTTTCATGGTCAAGGGTAGTATTCACATTCACATTGGGCAAATCTGGCCAAACCTAGAGAAGAAGAAGAAAAATTAAAACCTATACAAGGCATTGCATATGGACTGTGAAATGATTCATGTCTTAGACTCTATTGACATGCTTATCCATACAATTCTTGGAGATCTTTGTCATTAATTAAATTGTAACATCTGAATCTATGGAATTCTATTAGGAAAAATAGCCTGGGGTCCCTTGACTCATTCCATAAGTCTTCAGAACCATTAAGTTCAAAAATAAAATAAACTAAATCTGTTTTAAATATATCTTCTGACCCTTTCAAATGATTGCTTTGCTGTCTGTCATGGACATAGAACAAAATTCTCTTTATAAATAACAAACTTAAACTATGACTCCACGTAAATAAAATTGATTTTCATTCACAACTCAGAAACTTAGGCTCATGAGTATTAAGCAGCATGATGACTTACTGGGGGCCCTAAATTTATGTAGCATTAAAAAGTCCATATTTTTAACCCATTTCATCTTTAACTAGAAGGACATTAACTATATACAGTGATTAAGTCATTCATTCCTCACTTATTGAGTACTTACTATGTGATAGGCACTCTACTACAACCTGTATCTATTGGGACTTAAGTAAGAAATCATCCTTGTTTTCTAAGAGGTCACAGATAAAACACGCATGCTAAGTTACATGCTATACTCTCTGAGAATAACAATATAGAAAAGGGAAGAAATAAGGAGAGCAAAATGGTCATTGAATGCTTCATAGGAGGGTACATTTGACTTGGTCTTGAGGTGTGTATATAATCTAGGTAAGCCAAGAAGGCAACAACCAAAGACACAGTAAACATGGCATGTACTTAAAACAGCAGGAAGTAGCACAGTACAGTTACAGAACAGAGTCTGAATCCTGGCTGAAAGCTACTGTCATCCAGGGTCGGGAAGTTCACCTAAAATTTTGACTTGGTCTTGAGGTGTGGATATAATCTAGGTAAGCCAAGAAGGCAACAACCAAAGACACAGTAAACATGGCATGTACTTAAAACAGCAGGAAGTAGCACAGTACAGTTACAGAACAGAGTCTGAATCCTGGCTGAAAGCTACTGTCATCCAGGGTCGGGAAGTTCACCTAAAATCCTGTTGCTATAAATCAAACAGATGAAGACTGAGATCACAAAAAGGAACTAAAGAAGATAAATGGAAGAGGAGAATCTATAGGACTTAATGATTTATTTAGATATGGAGGATCTTAAGCATCATAGGTTAAAGACGAATGCAAGTTTTGAGTGTGGGTGACTGCCAGACACAGATTTCAGAGCCTTTCTTTAGGTTTATTACATGACCAGCTGGAATATATAAGGAGTGGAGCACCAGAATATTTCCAGACAATAAAACAAAGCTCACCGATATTTTAGAGAATTAGACCTGTAACCTTGGTCTTATTAATCAGCATCTGGCAGACTTCTATGCATTCATAATTTATTAATTACCCAACATATTTTTCTAAGATTTATTAACAGCCTCTTTCAATCAAGATGTTCTGTTGCTGATTAATTATGGGCATCTTCTCCCAAGGCTTACCTTTCCCCAGACAATGTCACTGTTATCAGGCCATTTGATGAATACATTGTTTTCCTGTCCTCTCTTGAATGTGGGATAATGGGTCTCATTGCCAGAAATGGCTGGGTCCTGCAATGAGAAAAACATCTCCAAGACCAAAACCAAAAACAAGATATCCACAGATAATTTGCCTTATGTCTATAAAATTACTGAGGAATAAAGGATGCTATTTGAAAACATTTCCTGGAGATAAACCAGTTAATAAGACATTACCCTCATGTGAAGAAAGTCAATTTATTGTGCTTCTACAGTGTAATATCAAAATTCCTTAAGACCATGAAGCTTCTGTCTTATGTTATGTTATGTCATGTTACATCACGTTACCTCATGTTATGTTTTATGTTATGTTTCCATGGCCCAACTTATGTATCAAAAGTGGCTTCCCTCTTCACCTCATCCCATAGCTGCCTGAGTTACTTTATAATTGTATCCTATTTCACAATTGGCATATAAATTATTGCTTTTTGAAGTTATTTTTCTTTATTGTTTATTTATTGTCTGACTCTGTTCAATAGAATAAAATCCCCATGAGAAAAAGGATGTTGTCATTAACTTAGATTATACACACATGCATACACACACATACTTTTTAGAACAGTGACTTTCAAAGACAAGTCTTTAATTAATGCTTGAATGAATGAGTGAATGAATGAATAAAAGTCAGCAAATAATTCTCTATTTTTTGGAAGCCAGAAGGGAGGACCATTTGCAGGTAACTATTTCTGTGTTTATCAGGACACAGCTTCCAATGCAAAATAATAAACTGGTGCTCTGGATCTTAGCTCAGTTGCTTGTGAGTTTAATTAAGAAGAAATGTCTCCTGAGCCTCACCACTGCTGGGTAATGATACAACTGGAGGGACTTTTGAACCTTCTAAGGTAAAGATAAGACCTGGATACAGCTGTTCCCTCGGAGGCACAGCCTGAAACAGTGAGGATTTGGGGGTATTGTTACTATATTCATTGTATCAGTCCACCCTTCTAACGCTACCAAGGGAATCATAATAATAAATTACATCCCTGGGGCATTCAGTTATGAAAAATAAATATTGCAAAGCATCACCTTTTGAAAGCCATTCTTCATTTGTTCTGTCCTTTGTTTATTTGTTTTTTAAAACTTTATTTTATTTTATTTTAAGTTCATTTTTGAGAGAGAGAGAGAGAGAGGCAGGGAGGGGCAGAGAGAGAGAGAGAGAGAGAGAGAGAGAATCCCAAGAAGACTCCTCCCTGTCAGCACAGAGCCTGATGCAGGGCTCGAACACATGAATCATGAGATCATGACCTGAGCTGAAACCAAAATCAGACACTTAACCGACTGAGCCAGCCAGGCACCCCTGCTTTTTAAAACTTTAAAAAATGGTGTCATAGAAAGTTGCAAAAAAATGTGCAGGGAAGTCTTGCATACTCTTTACCTTGTCTTCCCTCAATGGTACTATTTTAAAGCCGTGAGCACAGAAACAGAAAGGGGGCTATAGTCTTCTAAATACCTACCAGAATGAGAATGAATCTCATGCCATTTTTCTTCATTTGGTCAATCAAGAGACCAAGGTTTTGGAAGTTGGGGCTGAGAGTGAAGTCCAGCTTCCGGTCCATGTAATCGATGTCTACATGCTGGACATCCTATAGGAAGGAGCAGGCAAGATGCTGGGTGTCCTATGGCCATATCTCTCAGGGCACATGATCACCCTGCCAGCCCCAGCCCAGGCCCCTCCTGTTACCCCAAAACCCCCTACACTGCCTTTTCAGTTCTGCTGACTGAGATTGCTTTCTGATTGCTGCCCACAGATCACCTGTCCCCATCCTTCTCCCTCTCCTTTCCTTCTCTTCATTCATGTTTTTTCCACTTTTCAAACTTCAAACTCAGTGAGCCTATCAAACCAAGTGCTAGCTGAATGTTCAAGGGTAGAAAGCAGGACTTCTCTGAGAAACAGAAAAAAAAAAAAAAAACAACTATATCTATTTTCCCCCTCCAGTAAACCTAATTGAATTTATTCACGTTTAGAATTACATTGTTATGTAGTTTTCTAGAATGTGTATATTTCTGCCACCCTGTTTGACTGATGGTCCTGGAGATGAGAACCTTGTCTTTCTTTTTCTCTATACGGTACCCAACCAGTCTTCTGCACATGAAAGCTATTTAATCCAGGATTGTTGAATGATGGCTAAAGTGATTAATATCCAATTGACAAAAAGAGATGCTTCTTTTTGGCATGAAGATGAAAATCACTCTTAAGACTCTAAGTAAAACTTGTTTGAGGGAGCAAAGACATATGCATAAGCCAAAGCTTGGAAAACAATGGATTGAGATATTATTAACACTGATCACCTTGATGAGGTAGATCTCTGGATTTTTTTTTTATCTTTTAATTTTCCTACCATTTCTAATTTACATTTAGTAAATTTGTGGTAGAGTAGTATATAAAAGGAAAACACTCAAGGATGGATGAATGTTTCAAATTATCTTTGATGAGAGCATCATAACACTTGATTTTATTCTCATTCTCCAGTCATTAATTGTCCTCTAAACTCTCAAGAGGTGAACTGAAAACAGAAAAAAAGCATGAGTGATGAGGAACTGATGATTATGGAGGAGAAAGGGCATGCTGTCTTTCGAATTCTGCACATTCACAGCAAAGGGCTGCACTTTGGGAGGCTCATGAAGACACTAGATTGTCATTATATGATATGCATAAGTGCATATGTGTGCTTTTGAGAAGGTGAAGAGTTGTTTTAACTGCTTTCTTTCATATTGGCACTTTATATCCATCCTCCTCAAGAACAATCATAGTATGATCTACAATCATCATCCTCTTGACAGGATTCTCACTTAGAAGTCCCCAAGGTCATGGTTCAAGATCAGCCATGCCTACTGGGGGATATTCCTGGCAAAAGACAGTGAGTAACAATATGCTCCAGTCACACTGCTAACTGCTGAAGGATTTATGCAACTCTCAATTTTGAACCCTTGATTTAAAAGGGTGTCATGAAATGCATTTAAAAACCAGTGCATTTCACCCAAGACTAGCTCCACAGCTACATTTTCCTTACACTGAAATAGTCAACAGTAATTTCTCTGAAGGTGTTTTCAATCCGTAATTAGGCACAAATCCCCATAACTAATTAAACCACAGGATGAATGGGCAATTCATACATAGGGAATCTGGGCCGCCATCATTGCCTCATACAACAGGGAGATCTCGGTATCATTCTGGTATCCATAGCGACTTAGCTGGAATCCCAAGGCCCAGTATGGAGTCATTGCTGGCCGACCAATCAACTAGAATAAAGAAGAAAAAGGGGTCCAGAAGACTTCTTGGGAAAGACAAGAAAAGCCTTATACTTGATGCAACTTGAGCACTTCTACTGAGCACTGTCCAATCTAAGAGGCCTCCCTCAAGAAAAATAAGAAAGTCAAATAAATATGGAATGGTCATTGGCATGTGGAATGATAGAAAGTCTCCTATATTCTGGAGCTTCCATTCTAGGAAAGCTGGGAACTCAGGTGTTATTACTGCTTAGAGAGTCTTAGGGTAGTGAGAAAATAATTAAGAGACAGATGGGGTATCTGTATGCCTATACACTTGTAACACTAAAATCTGACTTTTGGAGAAGATGGCAGTAGTATAATAGGAATTCCCAAGGACCATAAGTGTGAAAATCAGCCTATCTCAGTGCTAAGAACATGGTAAATACCCAATAAACAATTGATTATTTATCAATGGATAGAATGACTTCCAACCTCAGTGTATTGCTGAGTTACAAGCTCAGGGGTTGGCCCCAAAACCATATAAAAGTCCAAAATCCCTCCTGTGGTGCGGTATGTCAGGGCAGGAGTGGGCTGGAATGACACATCTGTTTGAAAAAAACAAAAGAAAGAAGGAAGATGGGGAGTCCTTGGAGCTGTACATAACCCAGATAGCGAATCTGCCCTAAAATGTGCTTTTTTCACTCTCCCTCTTTTTTTAAGTCTCTCCTCCTCTGGAAAGCTTTCTCTCATGAAGTTGAATAAGAGATGGGTTCGCAGATATCCCAAACATAATCTTCATCTCACCATCTTATATCACTCTGTGAAAGGGAGTTAAACTGTCATGCAATTTGGTCAAAATGTGACCCCTAATACCTGGCCCAGAGCTCTTCATAAGTCACGAATGAATGAATGAAAGAATGGTCAGTTTATCTGTCCCATTTCCCTTGCCCTTGCATTTCTCTATGTCTATTGATCTTCCAGATCTCAGGAAAGTGGTCACAGCTGTTTATGGTGGCACACAGGGAATGTGCCTCTGTCTTACCCATGGCGTTGCTGTTTAGCAGGAGCACTCCATGGGCACTGCCATCCTGCTCCAGTGCCATGTAGTAGGGATGGACACCATAGGAATTCTTCTTGTACTGGGAGAGTCATGGCAGAGAGCAAGCAGTAACCAAAGGGAGAAAAATCCAAATGATTGTTTCTACATCATAATCCAAACAGCAAACCTCTACTCAATATTGAAGACTCAGCACCACATCATGTCCTTTATAACGCTTTCCTTAATCCTCCTTTTCACCCCAGGTAAAAAAAAAAAAAAAAACTAGGTGCCCTCCTCCTTCATGCCCTCCTTGTTTATTATTATATAATTCTATTATAAGCACTGATTATACTGGGTTACCACTATTTCTGCATCTGTCTTTCTAGCCTATAAACTTGTGGAGAACAGAAAGCATTTCATTAAATAAGACATGTACCTGACACATAGAATATACTAAATAAAAGTTCATGAAGTAACATCCACAGTCCACAGGGGGAAAAAAAAAACGGTGTCTTTTAGGGACAGAAGGATGTAAGAACGTAACATGTGTCTTTTCATCTGAGAACAGAATTGATCAATATAAGGTGAAGCTGATTCCTAGGGATGGATGAAAATATACCAAGAGAAATGGATTGATTATCTTATTCTTCTGTGCTTACCGCCGGGGGCTCATCACGGGCAAACATTCCCCACATGGTCCAGTTTATATTTCTTTTGAAAGCTGTGTGCTCAGTCTCTCCAAAGCCATAGAGGTGCTTAGAGGCGAGGCGAGTTGAAATGGAGAGGAACATGTCGTTGAAAGTGAAGCCAGGGAGCTGAGAGTCCCAACTGTAACAGAAAGATGTACCTTCACAGGGAGCTGAGCACAGGCCAGAGCAAACCCAGGACATGGTCAGGAATTCCAGCTGATTCAGAAGCCTCCTAAATGAAGGCATGTCTGGATCCAGGTCCAAGTACTCACTACCAAGGTTCCAGGTTTGCATTTTTATTCTGTGGTTTGCAAGGCTGAGAACTCCTTTTCTGGGTCATGGGCTCCTTGAAGGCATGGACTATGTCTCATTCACCTCTTTATTTCTAGTTATCATTGCCCAGAGTATCGGTTTGAATACATGTATGATAAACGAACAAGGTCTAAGCAAGTTTCCCAACAGAAAAGTGTGAAGCTCTTAGAAAAAGTTTTCTGGTTTGGCCAAAGGACTTCTTGGCGAAGAAGCCAACTGACAAAAGTTAGGCACACAGTCAAAGAGCTGAAGGCTGCCCACATGTGCACATACTGGTGATGGTTTTTCCTAGGATGGGGAACTTCGGCCCCTGGCAAAAAATCCAGACCTTCACTCCATTTGATTCAGCAGCGGGACAAGGGATGACAGATGGGAACTCTTTTCATGTTTAACATTGTGAAGATGCTTTAAGTCTACAGCGCTGGTAGAAGAGAAGATTGTAAGAAGCTGTTTGTCTTTCCTTAGTAAACTTTTCCCTCTCTCCTGAGTCTTCTGTTATTTTGTAATGAGGGTATGTATATAGAGCTGACTTCTGTCCTAGATTATCTGTCATGCTTTTCTTTCTTTCTTTTTTTTTTTTTAAGAGAGAGAGGGTGAACAGGGGAAATGAGTAGGGGGGGAGGAGAGAGAGAGAGAGAAAAAGAGAGAGAGGGAGAGAGAGAGAATCTTAGGTAGGCTCCAAGGGATTCAATCCCATGAACCTGGGATCATGACCTGAGGTGAAATCAAGAGTCCGATGCTCAACTGACTAAGTCACCCAGATGCCCTTGTTGTGTTTATTAAACAGATCTATCTTTTCTCCTTAACACAAACAATGAGTAGAACATGCGCTTTTCTTTTTCTGAAATCAAGCAATGCCTATTTTAAACCTCTGATTCATTTTTCTTTTTGAGTTAGTGACAAATAGAAAATGGAGCAATAGGTCAACTCCCTATTTAACACACACACACACACACACACACACACACACACACATTTACATTGTCTCTAAGATTAATATTTCATCTGCATTAAGTCGAACCACCCTAATTAGATCTAGAACCACTTTAATGAAACTAAATAAATCATGCTTACATCACAGTTTTGGAGCTTTTTCGCCGAATCTGGATCCCAAAAGGATTGTTCTGAATCCTGACATCATACAAACGGTTTTTGGGGGAGCCAACTGGAGAGGGAGGCGTGTTCAGAGGCACTGGGACCTCGTACCTTTTGTTAGTGGCATCAAAGATCTGACAAGAGACAAGGAAACTTTCTGATGGAATAATCTTAATAACCTAAAATCTCTCATGCCAGCTCATATAAATCAGTTCCCATGTTTTCTGGCCAGTTTGAATCACATGGGAAGGCATCAAATATCCCAAAGCAAATTGATGTGAAGCCTCCCCACCTACAGTGCCCAATATGGATCCTGAACTCAAAATGCCCCCAGAAATACCTGTTAAAAGGCAGGGAGGGCACTTTCTCTAAATAATTTGTGAACTAAGGGTACAGAATTTCATGGGTAGAATGTGTGTGTGTGTTTGTGTGTGTGTGTGCTCGCGCGTGAGTATGAGAATGTGCATATGAACGTGTATGTAAAAGTGTGAGATGACACTTGGGCATGTGAGTATATATTAGAAATTAGAGAACCGAATTTTCATGTGGACTCAGATCTTACTGGTTGAGCTTCCAGATGCTTAAGACAAGTTTTGTCTATAGCCTTGTTTCTCAAAATTGTGTTCCTCAGACCAAAAGCAGCCGTATAACCTGGAGGCTTGTTAGGAATGCAGATTCTCAGGCCGCCCTCCCCTCTACCTTTTGGGTCTGAATCTTCATTTGTACAAGATCCCAGGCCATTCATGTAACATTACAGTGTGAAAAACAATGTCTAGAGATGAGCTGTCCAAAGCAGTATTGTCACCAGCGAGACCATGTGACTCCCTGAATTCAGGATTGACTCACTGAACTAAGGAACTTCCTAGAACCTTCTGCGAACTGTCAATTTCATCTTTTAGAAATTAACTAATGAATTGCCAGAAAAGGAAAAGGGACATTTGAGGAGACACCTGTGCAGATGAATCAGAAAGTGGGGGACAGTTACCTTAGCTTTGTTATAATGTTAAAACCCCCCTCTGAATATTCGTCTCAAGCCCTAACAAAAGGAGCCGGCTTATCCCTGTTCAGGAGTCCCTGGCTCTGGAAATTATTCCAATAGGGGTCTCTCTATTTGTACACATAAAGATGACCTTGTGAGACAACTCCACCTGGGGTAGTCTCTGTCTATAACCCACCAAGCAGCAAACCCACTAAACACTTGTGGCAGTGATGCACTTGAACTATGCTAGTCTGAACAGAGCCTCCCTGTAAGTGCAAATTACACACCAACATTTAAAGAGTTACTATGATGAAAAGATTCTAAAATATCTCAATAATTGTATTTGGATTACATGGTGACATAACATTTCAGCATACTGGTGCAATAAAATGCTATTAAAATGAATTGCACTTGATATTTTTTTTCAAATACATTTTTAGGAATGTGGCTATTAGGAAATCTATGTGGTTCACATTGTACTTCCATCAGTGCAGAGTTGTAGGTCTCAAAAGTGAGGCCCCTGCCACACCATCAGCATCACCTGGAAACGTGTTACAGAGGCAGACTCACAGGCTGGAAACCCGGGGGCATGGCCCAGCCATCTGAGCTTCAATAAGACCTGCCGGTCATACTGGTGCTCTCTGAAGTTTCAGAACCACTGCTAGAAAAATAACTCTAAAGGCAGAAGTAGGTTAATGCCACTATGTGAGTTTCCCACAGAGCAGACACATTTTTCACAGGGCTGCATAGTGGTTTTTTGAGGCTGCTTATGCCCAAGCACTCGGCAGTGAAGGAAATTCACAACCCTTGTGGATCCAAGGTTGTGTCCTGGCTCTACCATCCTCCTTGCTCTCTGACATATACTTACCTGGGCTGCCATGTCCTTGTCTGTAAAATGAGGCGTTTGGACACAAAGATGTTTCGATGACTTTCATCCGTATGGAGCTATAAGAATTCCATGTTGAGGATCAGAACCTGCAACACCTTGAAAATTACCTTGAACTGCAGCATGTTTTCTGTGTGGTAGATGACACTCAGGCGGAGGGAGCGGATCGTTGCAGAGAGAGAGCCAGCAGCAGGGGCTGCTCGAGTAGATTCAGGGGCCATCAGGTAGGTGAGGTCTGTGGTGATGCCCGTAGGCAGGTACTGAATGTTACTAGCAGCATAACTAGGGATGGTGTCATAGTAACAGGTAGGTACATCTGGATCATCTGTGTCCTGGAACAAGAGGAGAAACTCTCCATCAGCCTCTAACACCCACACTTCAAGGGTCTAATTACCAAGGAAGTTGGTTCACACAGACTAAGTCTCTTATACCATGCCCATTATTATGGGTTGAGTTATGCGCCCACCTCCACTGAAGATATGAAGCTCTACCCTGGCATCTGTTAGAGTGACCTTATTTGGAAATAGCGTCTTTGCGGATGATTAGGTTAAATGAGATCATTAGGATAGGCTTAATTCAAGATGACTGGTGTCCTTATTAAAAAGGGACATTTGGACACAGAACTGCGCCCAGTGAGAGTGCCATGTGAGGATGAAGGCAGAGATCAGGGTGATGTTTTTATAAACCAAGGAAGACCAAAGAGTGCCAGAGGACCACCAGAAGCTGGGAGAGAAGAATGAGGCAGATTCTCCCTCCCCTCTCTCAGAAGGACCCAAATCTACTAACACCTTGATCTCAGCCTTCTAGCTCCCTGGAGTCTGAGAGAACAAATTTCTATTGTTCTAAGTCACCTAGTTTGTAGTACTTTGTTATGACAGCACCAGCAAATGAATACATCCATTTAAAAAATACATGGCCATTGGCTTCCTCCCCAGGATGAGCAGGGAAGTGTCAGCAGGAAGACTGATCTGGAGACTGGAGTCTCAGGCAAGGTTCTGCCCCCACTCTCGTCTTGGGGTAATCAATCACTTATTTCTCTGGTTTCCACTCTCTCTGTTTTTCAAGTGATGGGAAATAGTCTTACCTTTCAGCATTGACCCTCTAATAGATGGAAAAGAATCACTTAAAATACTCCATGCACAATGCACACCCAATGTATTATGGCTGTATTAAAAATAAAAGTGGGGTTTTAAATGCTGTAGTTGAGGAAAGAGAGAGCCACAGTAGTTATAAGTGTCTTCAGATTCAGGATATCTAAGGAAAATACTGGTCACCTATCACACAGATTTAGGTTGACAGTGCATCAGTTTCCTTCTGAAGGATGGTTATGGTTCAACCCATCAACATTTGGAAAGTGTTTTCTAGGTGTCTAATTACTCGTGGGGGCAGTTTTTACAAGCTTCTGCTCACTGTGGCAATGTGTTCCAGGTCATTACCTCCCAGAGGCAGCCTCGCTGTGTGCAGCGCTCCTTAGAGACAGCAGGCTCCTCAGGGTAGCAGTTGAATTTCTCCAGGTAACTGACTGGAAGATTCCATGTAATGGAGAATTCTTGTCCAAGTACCAGTCCCTGGAGATCAGTGAGCTTCACCACCTGAGGGAGGAGAAAGGAGGCTGTGGTGACAAATGAGATAATGTTGAGCCACCTGGATAATGTCCTTCCGTGATGATCTTCACCCAATACCACTTTGTCATGGGGTATTTGGAACATTAGCTTTTATCCTCTGGGGTTTTTGACCTCTCTATCAGGAAAATGAACTTGGCTTATTCTTGACCTTTTTCACCTCGTGGAGTCACTGTGGGATATTGAATGAGAAGGGCTTTCATCCTGGTAAGGAGTACAGTTCACAGGCAGGGCTGTCTTTGTCAGACTTATTGCCCCTTGGTGTGGTGCTCATACATTTTAATAATGATGGCAGCAATCACACAAACTAAAACTTTACTGAGCATTTATATGGGCCAAGCACTGTGATAGCCACTTTATATGATTATCTCTATCAATCCTAGAAGGTGATCCTATGCTGCCAATAATATGGCTATTCCCATCTTACAAGATAGAAAACTGAGGTGTAGAAGGGTTTAATGCTTTCTTTGGCCAAGATCTCACAGCTAGGGGACAGTAGAGCTAAGACTGGAACCCTATTCTGCCTTGTTCTAGAAACCAGGCTCTTAATGTTAGCTATATGCATTGTCAAAATGGAAGGGGGCTGCCCTAAGAAGTAGTGAATTTCCTGGTGCTTGAATTACTCAATTCACAATTGGAATCTTTTGTCAGAGATTATCATCTAAGGGACTCCTTCAAGAAGAGCAGAACTGGTATTTTACAAGCAGAACTTCTATGTTATTCAACTCTCATGTTCTCTAATGGTATAAAAGTAGCATGTCAATTGTGTCTCAAAGAGTCCTTAACTCAAATGGGAAGACAAATGTGTCAATACTCTCCAGAGCGAGTCCAAAGTATTGAATTGCATTTTAACCTCATCACATCAGGGATCAGCAGGTCTAGTTTTAAATCTGCCCAGAGAAGAACTGCCTTGTCTCAGAGGCTCAACCCCCTCTGTCTTCTGCATATTGCAATGCAAATAAAGTTCAGGGGTTCATATTTAGCATGCTTATGATTCTCCTGCAACTTCCTTGTGATGGTGTAGATTTTGCAGGGAGCCAGTAACTGCCGAAGGTCAAAAGAGCAAGGGAGAGCTGGCTGTACTAATCTTAGGCCAGGGCTTCTGATAAGGGCTGAAATGATGGAACAATCTCACACCTTGGATAAAGGATCATAGGAAGGTTTTGAAATGGCCAAGGAAGAACTATTTGATGAAACAATGAAACCAGTAGGTTCCTTGTCCATTCCTAAGATTGTGATATCTGTAAACGTGAGGTTAGGCCCAGGGTAGTCACAAAATATAACTTTTGCCTGTAGACTGTTCTGGAAGAAAAAAAAAAAAGAAACAACATACATCTACTTAGAAACCAGGTACATCACCAAATACCACTCAACATCTTTCTTTCTGACATCTAAGGTATGTCTTTTATCTCTGAGGTTCATTTTTTTAAAGTTATTTACTTATTTTTGAGAGAGAGAGAGAGAGAACACACAGGAGGAGCAGAGAGAGAGAGAGAGAGAGAGAGAGAGACAGAAAATCCCAAGCAGGCTCTGCACTGTCAGCACAGGGCCCCAAGTGGGGCTTGAACTCAAGAACCATGAGATTATGACCTGAGCTGAAACCAAGAGTTGGTTGCTTATCCAAGTGAACCACTCAGGCTCCCCTATCTCTGAAGTTCTAACCAGTGCCTGGTGATTGTCTCCAGGGAATTTGTTAATCCAGACTCTTAATAGTTTCCAGTGTTCCAGTAACATTTCATGTTTATTTTGGTTCACTGGTTATTTAGTGATTCTGTCTCTCAGGAAATACATTCTGGACATCACCGGATTTCCAAGTGGACATGATGGGTACTCATAAAACAGACAAAAAGACACGAGCATGCCTAGAATCCTATGGGCACACAAAGGTGAAGACATACAAATACAGGGCCAAGATGATCTTTCTTTTTATTTTAAAGATAATAAGAGCTAAAATTTATGAACGCTTACTATGTACCAGGCACGGTGCTAAGCATCTCATAGAATTCTAATAGCAAGCTATGAGGTTGAAGCTACCATGAGCCTCATTCTTCAGATGAGAAGACCGAGGCCAAGGAAGGCAGACAACCTACCCAGGGAACCACAGTTCAAAGTGATGAAGTTGAGTCTGACCAAGGTGGGACTAAAGACTGAAGAAAAAAAAGGGACATTTTGATGTTAGAAAAGACTAGGCAACCCACAAATGTCTTTTTGCAAAGGTGTAAAAGCAATGCAATGGAGAAAAGGGAGCCTTTTCAACAGATGGTGCTGGAGCAGTGAGCCATCCAGAGGCCCCAAGGAGCGCATGCACCTAAATTTCACATCTCTTATAAAGGTTAACTTGGGGGCACCTGGGTGGCTTAGTCGGTTAAGCCTCCGACTTTCTCTTAGGTCATGATCTCACAGTTCGTGGGTTCTAGCCCCACGTCGGGCTCTGTGCTGACTGCCAGCTCAGAGCCTGGAGCCAATTTCAGAGTCTGTATCTCCCTCTCTCTCTGACCCTCCCCTGCTCATGCTGTCTCTCTCTCTCTCCTAGAAAAAAAAAAAAAAAGATTAACTTGAAGCAGGGGCATCTGGGTGGCTTATTCTGTTGAGCATCTGACTTTCGCTTAGTTCATGATCTCACGGTTTGTGAGTTCAAGCCCTGTGTCAGGCTCTGTGCTGACAGGTCAGAGCCTGGAGCCTCCTTTGGATTCTGTGTCTTCCTCACTCTCTGCTCCTCCCCTGCTTGCATTCTGTCTGTCTGTCTCTCTCTCTGAAAAATAAACATTAAAAAAATTAACTCAAAGCAGTTCAAAGACTTAAAGATATGACTAAAATTTTTAGGAAAAAAATATAGAAGAAAATATTCAAGGTCTAATGATAGAAAGAGTCCTTAAAGTGGACACCAAAAAGCATGATCCATAGGGGTATCTGGGTGGCTCAGTCAGTTAAGGATCCAGCTTTGGCCCAGGTCATGATCTCGTGGTTCATGGGTTTGAGCCCCACGTCGGGCTCTCTGCTGATAGCTCAGAGCCTGGAGCCTGCTTCAGATTCTGTGTCTTCCTTTCTCTCTGCCCCACTCCCACTCATGATCTGTCTGTCTCTCAAATATATATAAACGTTAAAAAAAAGGAAAGAAAGAAATCCCTACCCATGCACAGACTTCTAATAAAATCAAATTAGAATTCTCATGTGATGTGCTAGCATCACTGCCTTTCTTTCTCTTGGTCTCCTTGGGAAAGAGATGATGTAAGGAATGTTCTGTACCTTTCTGTATCTTCCAACCTGTCAAAACCACCACTTAATATGCCCAAGTTTTAGGGGCTAGAAAGGAAGACCATTATTGAAAAACCTTAAACAGGCTCCATGCCACTCATTGCCGCTACCCACATCCCACACATGTTTGTCCCACCAAGGACAGATCCCTGAAGCTAGGACTCATCATATCAAACTCAGAGATAAGAATTTTTTTTCCCAGAAAAATCCAAGTTCTTCACTGAGGTCATACTGATAGTTGATAGGCTTATTTATATACCTAACACAGATCAAAAGCTATCATTTTAACTCCAGTCTTTTCTGGCATCGTCACAGGCACTGTCTGTGTTCCACATGGCCAAGCATCATGGCAAACCAAAAACCCAAGAAGCAATCACAGAAAAGGATGCACACTGTGTGTTCCTCCAAAACAGTACTTACAGAGGTGACAGAAAAATCATACAGAACATACTTCTTTTCATCTAAAAGAGAAAGATAGAAGGGTACTTGTTATTATAGGAAGCAGAGGAGTCATGCGGTCATGCTTTCCTCTTCATGTGGAATACCTCTGCTCACCCAAGTCCTGCCCCTTTCTCACAAACTTCCAAGTTTGCTGGCCCATTTCTACTGGCACTAACTGCATCTGCCTTGGAACTCCCACGACACTTTGTGGTACTGTTTTGCTGGCATTTCAGACATGGTGACTTCCATTTATAGTCATCCACACTGTATCTAGCCTGCGGGACCAGGAGTTCCTCAGAGACAGTGTATACAGCATATCCATCTTTATATCCTCTACATACAGTGCAATAATAAATAGCCAACAGATGTTAAGAAATGCTAATTCCATGCAGGGCAGGGCTTTTATATAATCACAGGCCCCACATAAGCTTTCGTCGGTTACCTCTATGGAAATCTTACAGTGGAAAATCACACTTTACAAATTAGATACTCCCCCTCGATAGTAACCAAAGCAATATTTTAAAAATCTATTCACAAAATGTATTTTTGGTATTGGTAACAATACCCAGAGAAGAGAATAATAAAACTAAACCAAAGAATGTCTGTCACTTTGGTAGAGTCAATAACATACAAGTTGCTCATCTGAAGTCTGTTTTAATGCACTGGGCTTGGCTAACTGAACTTTCAGAATAAATGGATTCCAAGCTACAGAAACAAGCACTGGTGATAACAGGGTCAGTGTCATTTTGGACAGCCTACAATGACTACTTTTCACTGAGAAGCCCAGGGAGGGCACCAGAGGGAAGCCTACCTTTGGATATACCATCATCCCAGTACAGCTCTCCCTTTGCTTCTCTCTTATAGTCCAAGGCAACAATGAGTCCCATGGAATTGTTCCGACTGTGAAAGAACAACCCTCAATTTTCAGAGCATGAAGAAGACATAGAACTGTGTTCAACCAGCCCATTTTCTGCCTCTGGGACAGATGAACTCAGAGTCTATCCCAGAAATGGAGTAGATATTGACACTGTGTGGAATCTTAGAAGTCAGGTATGGGTAGACAGCAGAGGTTGGTAGTGAATGAGCATAAGAATTGTAGAAGGAGGCAGTTCCCGCCGAAGACTGGGCTTATGATAGTAACAATCAGCACTTACTGGGTGCTTGACATGTGCCAAGCATTCTTCTAAGCGTCCTGTGGACAATAAACCATGTCTATTGTATTTTCATTTAACCTGCATGATAACAGTAAAAACTCAAACCATTGTCATTTCCAGTTGACTAGTGATGGCAGCAACACGGAAAGTAGGTCGCCCATGGCAATACATCTCATACGCAATATAGCTGGGGCCTGAACCTGAACTTTTCTGGTTCTTGACCCTGGAAGCTATGTTGACTTTCCTGTGATAAATCTTACCTCCTATTTACCTTGCATTCTCTCATGCCTAAGGGAATCTACTTGAAGACAGTTGCTGGCCATAGGAAAATCCTCACGAATGGCTGTTTTGACTGTTCTTAAAATCTGACTCTGTCCCCAAGAGAAAGGCTCTAGAAATGTGGAAGAGCTGAGGCTATCTTACCTGCAAAATGAACATGAAGGTGCCACTTCAGGGCTGACTTTGAAAGGAGGGGAGACAGATTACTGACTGGTGATGTTTTCCATGATTTATCCACTTTTAGTGTCCATTTGCCTGCCCCATAACACACCTCCCTTGGAGTGCCAGAGCAGTTACGCTGTAGAAGAATGAGGAGCTTACCTGGCCTCTGTGGTTGTGCTGGGCTGCTGGGTGGGAAATATGAAGCCCCCACGGAGGTGGAGTCCAATCTTATGGAGTGGTAGCTGCATTTCCACCAGTTGTTTCCTCCACTGGATGGCTACTCCCTAACCAATGGAACGAGGACAGAGCAGGTAATGGACTGTTGGACTAGGAGGGACCGTGGAGATCATCTACTTTAGTCGCCTCATTTGCAATGAGTCAGTCAGAGAAAGTCAAATACCATATAATTTCACTCATATGTGGAATTTAAGAAACAAAACAGAAGAACATATTGGGGGGTGGGGGAGAAGAGAAAGGCAAACCACAAAACAGACTCTTAACCATAGAGAACAAATTGAAGGTTGTTGAAGGGGCGATGTGGTGGGGGATGGGTTAAATGGGTGATGGGCATTAAGGAGAGCACTGGTTGGGATGTGCACTGGGTGTTATATGTAAGTGATGAATCACTAAATTCTACTCCAAAAACAATATTACACTATGTATTAACTAACTGGGTTTTAAATAAAAACGTGAAGTGAAAAAAAAAAAAAAAGAAAGAAAAGCAGAGACCCCCCCTCCCAAAAGCGAAGGGTTGCCCAAGGCATAATCAAAGTAGATAGCAGATCTGAGACTCCAATCTGTCCTATTTCTTAATATTGTCCCATGTGGTGATTCCACAACTGGGCTATCATTCACTAGGGTATCACAGCCTGCGGCCAATTACTAGTTCTCATAGCTGCAGAGTAGCCAGGTTGATAAAACGAAAATTCCTCTAAACCTACCCCAGTTATGCAAATTTCATAGTATGTCTAGAAAGGCCTTCTTCACAGAGAAGTACGCTCTACCAACTAAATGTAAAACATTGGACTGCTATCCTCCTCCCCAGCTCCCAGGAGCCCTGTGTTAGAAATGCCTTCTGCTAGAGGCTGGTCTCTGACCTAAATGGGGCTGCCTTACTTACCGTCTCATAGTCGTACCAGATGGCATCTGGTATGTATGCTTTCACTTGGTCCACACCCTAGGGAAACCCCAATAATGAGCAACATCAGCATACCTCTCACAGTTTACACAACACCCCATATGTTTATCTGTACAATCCCAAGAGATGGTTGGGATCATCCCATTCTATAAGTACAAATACAGATACTTAGAAAAGTTGGGCAGTTTACCAAAAGCAGAGTTGTGCCTAGAAATTAAGTGTGTTTTGCTTCAAGGCTCCTGAACTTTCCAAGAGAAGCAGAGAAAGTTCTTTCACTGAGCTACTTATATAGTCTGATTGGTAGGAGGAGACTGAAACAGCCAGATCTCTAGGAGAGCCTTCCAGTAGGACTGCCCACTGCCCGGCATCTGTCCAGAGATGGGCCTATGACATGAGTACGGTGATGATCCTTCATGTTTATAAAATGACCAGCATAATCCTGATTCCTCCCCCCCACCATACTTCCCCACTCACACTTAGGAAAGGTGTGTGCGGTCCTTCATATATGGTGTCCAGAGCCACACTCTCCCCTTGCCCAGACCTCTTTCCCTCCCCGTTTCTCTTCCCTCTTCTCTTTTCCCAACCTAACCCCAAGAACACATGTCCTTTGGTCAAAGGGAAGCACAGACAGATGGCCAGTGAAACCCACATGGCATTTAAAGCCCCTGTCAACCCATGGCCATAGGCTTAAGAAAACAAGTCTTAATGTAATTTTGCAAAATGCAAATTGTTTTGCTTGGTGGGGCAGTGGGACCAAGAATTACTATTTTTCTAAGTTCCAAACTTTCACAATCTTTCTCTCATTCTTATTTATGTTGATATTTAAATGAAGCTATAGACACTCAGGAGACACTCAGGACTCAGCTTATTCAGCTAGAGAATCATGGGGACAAGTGTGATATTCCACACTATTGTTCAGACTATAAACACACCTCATATAAAACAGGTGTGATGAGAAGGCCAGGCCCCCATAGGAACTGCTCGTGTACCTCCCATGTAGCTGGTTCCTGGTAGAACCTAGAAAACAGAGAAGGCAGATGAAACCTCCAATACAGAATGGCAGCACACTAGATGGCAAGATCCTGACTAACCTTGTAACCACTAAGCATATGAGATTAGGATCTGAGAGGGATTCTTGTGGGTCGGGAAACTCACTCATGGACAAGAGGCCTTGCTACGGTGTCTCCCCGGGTGTGAGCTCGGTAGAAAAGGGTGTAGAGATAGGGGAGTAGAGTGTAGCGGATGTTCAGATAATGTCTGGAGGAATTCACCAGCAGAGACTGCATACCAAAGGCAGCGGGATCCTGATCCTAGGAGAGAGTGAAGCAAATATTAGATATTTCCATTGTGCTTTAAATGTTTGTTCCCGTATGAACTTCCCTAAGAAGCTTTCTCAGATGAAAGTAGCTATGTTCTCCATCTTGGAAGATATCAAAGCATTTCCAAAACTACAAGGATCTAGATCCTGCTTCTTAATTTTATAAATGAAAACACAGTATCAAAGATTACACGATTCTCCCAATGTAAACTGCAAGCAGGTGGCAGAGTTTACATTTGACAGGTGTCTTCGGATCCCAGTCTATGGTAGCCACATGGGTGATAAAGAAGCCCAAGGAGACAACCATGAGGATAAAAGGGCTAGAGATGGTCCTGCCCCCTTCAGAGCTGATCCCATTTATTTTCTATATTGAGGTTTCTCAAGATACTCTATTTGGCTATTAATAATAATAATAAGTTGCACTACCCCTAAAAAGAAATTGAAACCCATTGCCTTAGGCCACATTGCCTACCACCATGATCTATAATCCATCTTTCATTTCCGGGCAATTTTATGAATTTGCAATTTTAAAATTTACTCTAGTTTTGTCTGTAATATTTTTACCATCGGTATTTGTTTTATTTTCTCTACCCCAAAGATAGTGACGCCAGTGTATATTTTCCTTCAATATACAATGTGCAAAGAAATCATGCCTTTAACCAAGAGCAAAGAAAGAACCCTTATAGGGGAATCTAATTTTCTTAGGACCCAAAAACAGAAATTTTCCATTAATGATGGGACTCATTTTGTTCATTTTCCTTGTAATCTGTAAGCTATGGAAGATATGCATGTTGTATTGATATTTGTCATCCTGCACTGTACTGCCAGGACTGAATTTTAGACAAAAGTTTCCAAATATATTCCTTTCTTTTGTCCCTAAAGATGTTTGTTTCCCTTCAAAGAGAGTAGAAGGGAGAGTGGTCCACTCCAGGAGACCCCTTTTTGCCCCCAATGCAGGGCTCACGGAAACTCTGAGGCCAAACAGCAATGAAAACAATACTCCACAGCCTCTATAATTCTGGTCGCCAATCAAGAAAGCCTAGTGCTGTCCATGAGGGTGTCCATGATGGTGGCCACACTCTGCGTGGAACGTTTGAACACTTGAGATGTAGTTAGTAAGTCTGAAAAACTTAACTTTTAATTTTACTTGATTTTAGTTAATTTAAATATAATCCTAAAAATGGAATATTTTAAAAATATTTTAAGTATTTTAAATAAATAAATAAATATTTTTAAAATAAGATATTTTCCCCATTACGTATAACTTCATTGTTTTGGCTTATTGCACTCCAATTGTTGAAAACTTAGCATCCAAATTGAGATAGATGTACTGCAAGTGTAAAATGCACCTAAAGTTTGAAGACTTACTAGAAAGAAAAGAATACAAAACACTTGATTAATAATCATTTATATTAAGCACAGGTTGAAATAATAACATTATGGATATATTGGGTTACATAAAATAGATTAAAAAAATTATTGCTTCTATTTCTTTTTACTTTTTAAATTTACATTTGATCTTACATGTGTGGCCCTCAGCAGCATTCTATTGCATAGCACTGGTGGAGAGGAAAGGCAAACAAGCCCTGTACCTTGGCACACTAAGTGATCCGAGGGTTCTTATCTCACTAATTTTTTCCAGGCCATCCCATCAGGAAGGCAACGTGCCATACTGCTCCAAGCCATCTGCTTAGAAGTTCAGAAATAACTCCTCTCTCTCCAGATCACAAATGGCTGGGAGAGCCCTGGCATAAAATAGTTTCACAGTTTGGCTGGGAATCTCTCCCAGGTTAGAGAGACACTTCATTGGACAAAGTCAAGAAGTGGAGTTAAAATGATCATCAGTAAGCTGCTCTGTTGAGCTTATTAAGAGCTAAATGATTTCATTTGAAATACTTCTATTGCAGATTACTTCATTAAAATTAGGGGCAGCCCACTGTACTCACTCCTGCCATCATCACAGACATCTCCTTAAGAGGTGCTCTGCACCATCTTCTACATACTTGCCCATCAAAAACATGATTTTGGATAGAAAAAGATAAAAGAGGGACAAGTCATGCAAAGTACTGTCGGGGGGGGGGGGAGGGAGCTCCCGAAACATTCATAGAGAGATAGAATGTTGTAACAATGTGAAAAATATTTTCAGATCACTGGCCTGCCCCTCCCTAAACCATTCCTCCTTGCTTCTCCGTATCTAGGAGTGGTTTCCTTTGTATTATCTGAAGTAAAATACCAGTGGACTCCAATGGTCCCATCTTATAAAAGGTAGTAACAGAGGTAATAGCAGCACCACAAAAACTTGAACAACCCTTCTCACCTTCGTTTGTGGGGGAAAAAAATCAATATAAATCACAATAAAATCATTCAATATGTATATGCTCCTTCCCATACGCCCTTATCCCAATATTCTGCTCTTTGGGTCTATGACCCCAAATTTATCTATTCTTCTGTACGTAGGGCCAACCTGTAGGATTTTCTGCAATCCTCTTTGCAGAACGACTAGATTAGACAATCCAAGAAGTTTCCATCCCCTCTCTTGGAGACCTTACCCTGAACCCAGGCCCATTGTGATTCCTTGATAGTGGATAAAAGGCTCCAAGCTGCATCCATCTTGTGCAGAGCTCATCTGTGACATTTTTTGTATAACCACAGATATTGGCACCTACCTGGAGAATTAGCACACATACAAGTACAGTGGTCAGTGACAGAAGAGAAAGCATTATTGTACACCTATGACCTAAGGGGGGAAATATCTTATTTTCACTATTCTATGTTTAAAGGCGCTCTCTAGGCTTTCAGTGCCAGTCCCCAAGCCAAATGGAATATAGTAGCAAATATGCATCATGAATCAACTGACAAGGGTCATTGGTGGTATATCAAGGGTTCATTCTCAAAATTCAGCTCCCATTTTCATCCTTTGCTACTCACTGATGCTTTCCTGATGAAAAGTTTCTCTGATGTTAATATATTTTACTGCCACATATAAAAATGAATTTTCTTATATATACCACAGGGAGATATATATGCTTCTTGTTTTTCAGACACCTCAAAGACTAGGAATGGAAAGAATGCCAAAGGAGAAAAAGTTAAGTTTTCTTGGTTGAGAGTAAAACTCACCATGGGGATACCAAATAGGTTGAACTCAAGGATACTAGGGATGGACCATCGGAGATCATCCCATGTGGCTGCATTGTCCCCCAACCAATGAGCAGCAAATTTGCCAGACCCAGCAAAAGTAGAACGGGATAAGACGAAGCTCCTATTGTTGGTGTGGTTACTCTCCATCGCCCTGAAAAGGAATACAATCAATTGAATGTGGAGTGAGCTGTGAATGTCTAGGACTCACCTATATCCAAGGGCAGCAGTGGACTTTCCAACCAAACAGAAAAAGCATAGGGCATCATAAGCTAGGTGAGCAAACTAGGTTAGCATTTTTAAGAGCTTCTTTTCCACTTCTGAATAAGGTTTTAGACTTCCTGTAAGACAGCACAAACCTCTATAGTCCAGTCCCCCAAGAAATATGTCTAGACTGCTGTCCTCTAGGTTATGTTTTCTCCATCTCGTTGCATCTGGCTGTGCTCTGACCCTCTTGGTTGACAACACACTGGAACCATGCCTTGGGTTCCTGACTCCATCTTCTCCCTCTAGACAAAGATTTTCCAATGTCTCTTATTTCCATGGCTTGCTGCCCACTTATCATCCTGTTTGGTACAACCCCAGCTCATGTTGAGATTCTGTAGCTCCCGCTGGCCTAGGAGAACAGTTTATACATTGGCTGGGCTCCAGGCCATGGGTTCCTCTAAGGCTTCAAAATGTATCATTAGCAATTCTCAATGTTGGGAAATCTTAATCTATGCAAATAATAATCAATATGAGATGAGTGAGTCTCAAAGGACAGCATATGATACTCTTTATAAAGTTAAATGCAATTCAAATACAAAATTTTATTTGTATTATACTACATTTAAGATATTATATATCAAGTAAGACTAGATAGAAGAGAAAGCAAAGGAATTGAAAAGATGGAGTGCAGAAAGAGAAAGACTTCAGGATGGAGGGGAGCATGGGGTGCGAAGAACACACAGTTAGATATAGATTATTCTCCTAGCTTTAATTCTGAACGCTATTTTGCAGAGGCACTTCCCTGAAATGCCTCTCCTTCCCTTCTCCTTCCCCGCTAAACAGTTCACACCTTCCTTTAGCCATCTCAAATTAAATGAAGTTACACCTATGGGATGGTGAAGCCCCAGCCACAACTGCCGTGAGCCCTTTCCTTTCAGTTCATGGTCTGAGACAAGTGTATCCACAGGCACTGGACAGTTCCTCACAGACCCTGTCACAGCCACCAATGCTTCCCCGCTTCACATTCCTGAGGACTACCTTATGAGGAGTCTATAAATGCAAAATGACTTATAATGGTCGAAGGGAGAAAATTCTGAAATAGAAGGTGGGTTTGAAAGAGTGCAGTCATCCATTCGTACAATTTAACGACCAAGTGACAGAGGCAACATAAAGGAGAAAATCAGTCTTCCACTCCGACTGTCACATCTACTTTGCTCTCCATGAACAGGTAACTTTGCCTTTATGACCGCTGGCTAGAGGGTTTATTGTATGCTGCAGTCCTGCATCGTAAAAGAAATACCTTCAGGTTATAAAGGGTGAAACTGAAACAGGGATAAAGTTATCTGAGGTTACAGTTTTATCTAGAAGCCGACCTTTGATCTTTATGGTGCCGCAGATTAGATAAATCTGTTTCCCAGCCCAGAGGAACAATCTTATTCAGAGATCCTCAAGTCTCTCTTTTCTATCCCTCAGGTTTGGCCTTTTCATCCAGTCCTGATCTCTAAGGGGATATGAGTTTTCTACTTTTAGCTTAGAGGGAGGAGAAATTCATTCTTGGGGGAGACCAGTAATCACTGTCCCCAAACAATACTTCAGGAAGGCTGATCCAAATAGTCATCAGCTCTATGACTTAAATTTTCCTGGTGCTCAGATCTCACTGAACAAACATCTTATTTGTTTTCATACCACTCTGCCTCATATCCAAAAGCCAAGTTCCACTTATCTCCAGAGAACTTAGAAAGGTACTTACTACCTTCTCCATCACAGTTACCTTTTAACTATTAATCATAGCTATTAGAATATATTAACCAAGCCCATCATGATCTTACAGCACTTTCATTACATGGAGACACCAGCCATAAAGCAATCGCAACTCTCTTTCCCTCTTCCTGCTCATTGTTTCTTACCCGTCACTTAGCCACTCTCCCACCTACCTTCCATTCTTAGAAGCGTCTAGGAGTTGAAATAGATGGGAACTAAATGAAACTGTGGCAAATATCAGTCCAAGCCTATGGTTCCAAAGATGAGAAACCTGAACCTTATTCATCTAGTTTATCTCCCAGGAAAAATCGAGTGAGGGAGACAGAGGTCAGAAAGAGAAGATAGCAAAATAAGAAATGTGTCTTGTTTCCTGAAGCTTTTCTTTTATTGATATCAAAACTTTGGCATTTATTGGACAACGACTCTCTCTGATCTGGACAGTCCAGCATAATTCAAAGTCTGACAGGCAAAATGGCGCTGGAAAACAAGAGGAGCAGTCTAACTCATCTCTAACTCACCAGGCCACTATGGAGCCCTTCCTGACTTCTCTCCCTCAAGCAGCTATTCAACACACATTTTTACTAAACACTATTCCTCAGGCTAAGGATACAGGGATGGCTTTTCCCTCAAGAAACTTACAGTCCAGCAAGAAAGAAAAAATGCAGTATCCAAAAGTTATAGTATAAAATTTTTGCACAGTAAGCTTATTATAATACAAACAAAGGTAGCACACAAAAAGGGAAATAGTCTTTTTCCAGAACTGACAGGAATGTTTCCAGAATGAACATCTGAAGTCAGGCTTTAAAGAAAAGCATAAGTTTGCAGACAGGAGAATGGAGATGGAGACTGGGCAGGCAGTGGGGAGAGAAGAAGCTAAAAGCTAGAAATGCTGTATGCAGCAGTGCCAGGTAAACACGGGACACTCAAGTAAACTTGAATTTCATTTATACAATGGATGATTTTTAGTGTAAGCATGTCCAGTACAATTTTAGCTGGGTCCTATATTTTTATTTGACAAATCAGGCAACTTTAGTGTGGTAACCACAGCAACATTGGGTAATAGGACCTCAGCAAGGGATGGCTTCCAAATGAATGCTCTAAACACTTTGCACCTTACTGCCCTTAGTCACAAGCCAATCAAAACTAGTCTCCCACAGGAACCAAGGGGCTAGATGAGAAGAGGTCTTTAGGAGCCTATAAGACCTGAGTTTCTATATCCTTAAGTCACAAAAAATATTTGAAACACCTACTTCTGGAAGATTCCCAAAGGCCTCTGCCTCCTAGCTTCCTCAAGCTGGAATTAGGGGGAAAACCAAGTACTTACATGTTGGTAGCTTTTGCCATGGAGTAGCCGTACAAGCTGTGGAGATCATAGTGAAGGCCCTGGTGAAATTCTGCATCCATGCAGAGGGTTCTTGCAAATAGCGAGTGGTCCAGAACTCCTGTGGGGAAATAAATACCCAATAGTGAGGTACTTCCCTATCAATGGGCTCTAACAAAATAACCACCCAATTGTTTGCTTCCTGGTTACTATACCTTCCTACCCAGTCTCCACCTAACAGTATCCTTTCCAGACTTTAAATTCTACCCTAAATGCTACTTCCTACAGGGATCTACGCAAAGTCGCTCTCTGAGTTAGATCATTAAAATTAATGTATATGCCCTTGGAGGTCACAAAAAAAATGGTGCTGGATGGAGTAACTGAGGAACAAGTTCATACCAACAGGAAGATGGCCTGAGAGTAACTATAAATAAGACAAACACATTTCTCTACATATATTTGACCAAGAAGAACAGAGTACGTCAGGAACAGACATGAGGGGCAGTGGAAAGGAAAACACTTTCACTCTTCTCTTCTAGGCACTCATATGCTGGGTAGGCTTTTTAAAGACATGGGAGGTTTGGGTGGTTTCATGAATGAGAACTCAGATCCTGCCTCTAGAATCACCATTGTGACTGTATTTTCCCTAAAATGCTCAACATTTTCTGCTCGGGCCTAGAATCTCGTTCTTCCCTTTTTTTTTCTCTTGTAGACCAGTAACTAGAGCCATAGCAGCCCTCCTTCGTGAAGCCCTTGCCATGGACATAGGGTCACAGTATGAAGTATGACTCCAGAAAGCAGTGGAAGCAGGGAACTCTGAGGTTGACTTTTCCCCACCAGCCCAACAGAGTCCCACCAGTGCAACTTAATCAGAAATTAAGCTGAATTACACAACGTAATGAAATGTGTATTTCCGGCACAGCTCAGTCTGTGAAATGAGACTCACAACCACTTCAACGACAAGAAAAGACACGATGGGGGGCCCAGGTGGTTCACTAGGTTGAGCAGCTGACTTTGGCTGAGGTCATGAGTTTGAGTCCTGCCTGGAGCTCTCTGTTGTCAGTGTGGAGCCTGTTATGGATCTTCTGCCCGCCCCCCAAAATAAATAAACATTAAAAACAAAAAAAGAAAAGACACTACAACTGTCCAAAGGTCAAAGGTAATTTATCTAAGTCTTTATCATGCTAGTGTGTGCTGTCCAATCTGAAAAGGTGAAAAGCAGACCAGCTCTGAGGCAGAGGCTAGTCATGGGTAGGTAGACACAATACTGCTAGGAAGGAAGTGTGGTGTTTGCCAGAAGCACCCAGAACAGGATGACATTGCAGTTTTTTATAGAAACAAAACAGCAACAACACAACAACTTAGTCTGGCTAAGAAGAGCATTAAGAGATTAAAAGGGAAACATAAAGGGGTGCCTGGGTGGCTTAGTCTGTTAAGCGTCCGACTTTCGCTTAGGTCATGATCTCGCGGTTCGTGGGTTCGAGTCCCGCATCGGGCTCTGTGCTGACTGCGAGCTCAGAGCCTGGAGCCTGCTTCAGAGTCTGTGACTCCCTCTCTCTCTGACCCTCCCCTGCTCATGCTGTCTCTCTCTCTCTCCTAGAAATAAATAAAAATTAAAAAAATAAATAAATAAAAGGGAAACATAATAAACTGATCCACAGTGGAAAAAAATGGGGGGAGCCCAGACTGAGAAGAAAAGAATAAAGAGTAAACAACGCAAGCAAACAGTAGATTTTGCAAGACGTTAAGAAATCTGAAGCCCAGATTTCTCCTAAAAATTTCTCTACTTCTTCAGTGACCAGAAAGGGCTCAAGAAACAGGTAAATCTTAGTCCTGGGCGCAGGTAAAGTGGACAGACCAGAATAAACTGGCAGAGACTGGCCAGATGTTCACCAGGCATGTGTTCTCTTCCTGGGAGAGGAAGGTTATATTTCACACTTTCGCTCCAAGTTAAACTGAGAATATGTGATTGGCTTTCTGAGCAAAGAAATGTGAGCCAATTAAATACACCTCACTTCAGGGGCGCCTGGGTGGCTTAGTCGGTTAAGCGTCCGATTTTCGCTTAGGTCATGACCTTGCGTTCGTGGGTTCGAGCCCCGCGTCGGGCTCTGTGCTGACTGCCAGCTCAGAGCCTGGAGCCTGTTTCAGAGTCTGTGTCTCCCTCTCTCTCTGACCCTCCCCTGCTCACGCTGTCTCTCTCTCTCTCTCTCTCTCTGTCTCCTAGAAATAAATAAAAACATTAAATAAATAAATAAATACACCGCACTTCAAGGCCCATAAAACTCCCTTTACCTCCGCCGTCTCTCTCCTTCACCCAGGAAGCTACAAACAAAGGACTCTGAGGTGGGAGCGCCTCGCAATGGAAGTAACTAGATCCCTGAATCACTGCTTGGATGACAGCCACACATCTCATGTTGAAAAGTTATATGAGCAAAAACTAAATGTTTATTGTATTAATCCACTGAGATGCTGGGGCTCACTTATTTCCACAGCACAAGCTATTTGATGCTGTTTCTCTCTCTCTCTCTTTCTCTCTCTCTCTCTCACACACACACACACACACACACACATGCACGCACGCACGCACACACAATTTCAAAATCAGGACTAGAAAATTTGACTAGAAATGAGACTTAAAAATAAGAGAGACCTGGGGCGCCTGAGTGGCTCAGTCGGTTACGTGTCCGACTTTGGCTCAGATCATGATCGCATGGTACCGTGTGTTCGAGCCCCACATTGGGCTCTGTGCTGCCAGCTCAGAGCCTGGAGCCTGCTTTGGATTCTGCGTCTCCCTCTCTCTCTGCTCACCCCCCCCTCAAAAATAAATAAACATTAAAAAAATTTTAATTAAAAAATAAGAAGAGAGACCTAAAAGGGACCATTGATGCTTTCAATTGTGGCTAGTGAGCGGGGGAAAAAATTTTAACAAAATTACAGCCTTACAACAATGGAAGGTAGTTTGGACTTTTTATGAAGAACCACTCGTCTCAGGGGTTTGGAGACCACGAAGGGGCTGCGAGGACACAGAACCCCGCGGGGAAGGCACGCGCCCCCCCCCCCCCCCCCCCCCCCCCCCCCCCCCCCCCCCCCCCCCCCCCCCCCCCCCGCACGCGCGCGCCCCGGGCTCTGTGCCTGCCTCCAGAAGGTGGTCAGGACCCAGGGGCGTGGCAGCGCCTGCGGCAGAGGAACGGACCCCCGTCTGCAGACCCTTGGACTGGGCAGTGGGACCGTGCTCCGCCACCACCAGGGCTGCCGAGGCTGCTCTAAACAGGCCTTGGGGCCACTTACTGGGAGTGAAAGGAGGAAAGTTCAAGTGGTTTGATTCACACGTATGATTGGACCCATGGAGAAAGCTGGCTACTTCATCCATTTCCTGCGAAGACACAGAAGCCACACAAGGAAAAGTGTTACCTACACTTGGGTTAGGTGTTTGGGAATGTTACCTGAACTAGGAGCCCCACGCCTGGGGTCTCTTTCCAACTGACTTTGGGGTCTTGAATAATCTTCCTAAATTATCCTGACATCTGTTTCATCCTTTGGATTAGATTGTGTCTAAGCTGCCCTCCAACTCTCGGTGGCATCAGGCACATTTTACTTTTTATACCTTGAATTCAATTAGTTAATTGGGAAATACCATCCCAACGGCTGATTTTTACCCATAAATGTTATTGTTGCTGTTATTATTTCAGTGCTGTGTCTAAAAACAAACAAAAACCCTTGGGGCACCTGGGTGGCTCAGTCAGTTAAGCATTCGACTTTAGCTCAGGTAATGATCTCAGGGTTCTGAGTTCAAGCCCTGTGTCGGGCTCTGTGCTGACAGCTCAGAGCCTGGAGCCTGCTTCAGATTCTGTCTTCCTCTCTCTCTGCCCCTCCCCTGCTCACACTTGTCTCTCTCTCTCTCTCAAAAATAAATAAACATTAAAAAATTTGTTTAAAAAACCTCTAAGACAGAAGAATATTTCTATTTTATAATTTCCCCTGTCCTGTATTCTACTCAGTGAGGGACATGAAGATATAATTGAGATCAAATCTATTTCTTCAAAATGGATTAAAAATAGATGATGCCTGGGGCGCCTGGGTGGCTTAGTCGGTTAAGCGTCCGACTTTCGCTTGGGTCATGATCTCGCGGTTCGTGGGTTCGAGCCCCGCATCGGGCTCTGTGCTGACTGCCAGCTCAGAGCCTGGAGCCTGTTTCAGTCTGTGACTCCCTCTCTCTCTGACCCTCCCCTGCTCATGCTGTCTCTATCTCTCTCCTAGAAATAAATAAAACATTAAAAAAAAAAAAAAAAGATGATGCCTAATCCTGCTAACAGAGATAACTCCCCAAATTTCAAAGAAATACCTCCATCTGCTATCCCCACTTAAAAAATAAAGGGGATTCATTAAATTATTCTCTAATTAACTGTAAATTTTAATGAATCAGTGCAACAAATAATAGCAATTATAGCCTCTAATAAAACAGTATTTTTGATGAAAGACAGTTAATGGAAGAAAAAGCTTAAACCACAAGAAAGCAAAGGACTTTCTCAAAAAGGAAATAATCAGTTGTTAGCAGGTCCAGAATTAAAATCCAGGGTTTTCAGGGTCTATTTCACTGCATAGGAGCTCAGCATTAAGTAAAAGGATTTTAATTTTTTTTAACTTTTATTTATTTATGGGAGACAGAGAGAAGCAGAGCACAGGCTGGGCAGGGGCAGAGAGAGGAAACAGAATCCGAAACAAGCTCCAGGCTCTGAGATGTCAGCACAGAGCCCAACGCGGGGCTCGAACCCACGAACTGTGAGATCATGACCTGAGCTTAAGTTGGACACTTAACTGACTGAGCCACCCAGGTGCCCCTAAACACTATTCCAAGGAGACTATTTTATTACAGATCAGGGACAAAACTCATTCTCAAATCTTGGAACATCCATTTCCAAAAGAAGTTTGATCTGGGAATAATAACTTACAATCCACACTCCATCAAAATTGAGAGTGTTGTTAAATTCAATGAACTGCTCTTTCCACCACTGAGTACAAAATGGATTGCTGAAATCAGGAAAGACCACCAATCCAGGATATCCCTAGAGAACAAAAAAGAAGGCACTGCAGTTGGTGTGGCTGGTGGGTGACTTACACATTTATGACAGGCTATTGCTTTGTCCGCTAGGAGCCCCATGCATCTTGTCATTTCAGAATCAAAATGTCCCCCAAAACTAAATAGTAAAACAGATACAAGGAACCAAAAGAAGAAAAGAGAGAACAACTGGTCATCATAGAACTGAGACGTCATCGATGTCTTTTCTCTATGAAAACACAAAAGTAACATTTCATTATGTCAGACCAGAGGGAAGAATTGTTTAAAAATACTCATACGTCTAACTAGATAATATTTCAGGAGCGAATGATTGGATTCATTTAATGTGTAAATTAAAAAGCATTTAAACCTGTGTGGAATAATGATGTTTATAAAGAATATGTTGGTTTGGGTATATAAACAATCTGTTTTAAATGGCAAAATGAATTTAAGGAGGGCACTTGTGATGAGCACTGGGTGTTGTATGTAAAGGATGAATCACTGAATTCTTCTGAAGCCAATATTGCACTCTACGTTAACTGGCAAATTTAAATGAAAAAAAAAAACTTACTGAAAACAAATAAATAAATAAGATGGTGAAATGAATTTTGGACTTCTTATTCAGTTCCAGTATTTCTTATCCTCTTTTCTCTTCCTCTCTATTCCTATCAATGTAGCTTTCAACATTTTCCAGAAATAGCACAAAGATAGAACTTATAGCCAAATTATTGAAAACTCTAAATTGATAGGATACAAGCTTTTGTGCTTACATTGTTATTTATTTTCCCAACTAATTTATAGGTTACCATTTAGGATCTTATGTTCAGGCAATATAATGAATATATATTCATATATAATATATATGTAATGAATACATATTATATATATGAGTATATAATGAATATATTACTTATGAATATTATGTTACATATGACATAATGTTTATTTATATTATAAAATATATAAATGTATAATGTAAAAAATATATACATAAAATTCAGAGACTTCTTAAAACTCAAGGTGAGAGCTTAAAATTCTCAATTTAAATGGATTGAACTATTTGATAAGGCACCAAAGAGTGAATAGGTGATAGGGCACAAATGAGGTAAATTTGGAAATAGGCAGTGTGGTAAAGAAGTCACCTACAGCAACACTCTATCTAGAGCAGGCCCAGCCAATTTCATTCTAACCAAATGCCTTTATAATAAACTTCCACCCACCTCCATGACTACTACCTCTAATTATATGCAACTTACTAATTTTATAACCACTCAAATATGAGTCCTACTGAAATGACTCACAGATCTGGATAATCTTTTTAGGTAAACAGAATCATGTTTATGTGTCCATGGCCTCTGATTTTGTACTTATAGATGTATATCGGTCTACCTGATATTTTAGAAACTCACTTCAAACAAAACAGTAATAGCAAAGCATTGGTTTGGGGAAGGAAGGGAACTTCTCTACTATTTTCTGGAAGGTTAGACCCAATGAAGAAGAAAGCACATAGAATTAAGTATTGTAAACAAAGTCAAAGATAGGAATTCAGTGAGCATTGATAACCCTGAAAAGAGTTTTGAAAAGTAAACTGCCCAGGAGTAACACAACTTGCAGCCACATAAACTTTCAGATTAAGTATGTTTTAGGAAATCTCACATAATCCAGTTATCTAGGGCTGGCCCTGCAGGTAACTGGAATAGAAAGTTGCCCACATGACTTGACTTCAAGTACTCTGAAAACAGGATTCTAATCAGCCTACTCCAATGCCTGAAACTGCTAGCTTGGACGGAAGGCTGGGCTCTACCTATAAGTCTCAGGTAAAATAAAAGGACATTAGGTTGCACATTAGCCTATGAGTATATTGCTGCATTATTATAGCTGAATGTGTTGGGAAAGAGAAGGAAGTTGGGATGCAGGAGGACTTTAAGAATAAATGAATTTTCTTCTAATAATACATTGCTTCTCAAATATCTATACTCTAGAAAATCAGGGGCTAGTTTTTTAGAGACTAGATATTAATTTTCCCACCACCAAAAAAAAAAAAAAAAAAGATAATTACGTGATGTGGTAGAAGTGGTATCACCACAATGACAATCACATTGCAATATAGATATGTATCAAATCAACACATTGTATACCTTAAATTTACACAATGTTGTAGGTCAAATATATTTTAATTTTTAAAAATCTTTCAGAATTTTAATTACTTTGCTATGACATCTATTGGTCTAAAAGTAATAAAGGAAGCCTCTAAAGCCATGAAGATAGTAATGATACTGCCTTCTATTCATTTTCATAACAAAGTACAGACTTCCCCCAGATGACTGTAACTTAGTGATTTTCTTGCAAATTACCTGCCCAACAGCAAAGCCATTGTCCCCCATGATCCATACTCTCTTCTCACTTCCACTGTCATAGGGCTGGTAGCCAGACTTACGTAAGATTCCAGGATGCTAAAAAATAAATATGATAATAAATATTTTATTTGTAAATTTCATTTACACTTTGAAAGGAAAAATGAGGCAACAGACTTGTTTGAACATACCATCATGATTACATATTTCATTCCTTGATTATGTAAGTCTTGGGGAAAATTTTCGAGATGAGTGTAAGTCGTGTTATCAAACGTGAAATCCTTTCCCCCTTCCATGTAGTCTACGTCAGAATACTGGACGTCCTGAAAGATACAGCCAGCTAGTTAGAAAATACCCCTGTGTTCACTGAAGGTATCATGGCTCCGGTATTTGCTCACTAAAACTGAAGCTGTGTTTCTCAATGATCCTCAAATTTCTAGGACTTGGCTACCTCTTAGAAGTAAAGTAGCCCCTTCTGAAAGATGCAGGCACTCTTAGGTTGTAGTTTTCTCTCTCTGTACCGACAGATGCATGTCATACGGTATTGGGAGGAACTTGATGGTAGGGACTGTGTCTTGTTTATCTCTGTAACTCGAGAGCTTGGATGCTTGACACAAAACAGGTGGGCTTTAAATGTCTGTTTGGGTGAGTATATTCGTCATGTTATAACATCGTGCAAACCTGGAGCCTAAACATTAAGCTGGGATATATAGTAAGAAGAGAAAACAGTCTTCTTGGTCTATAAAACTGCTAGAGTAATAACTCACAAAGATCAAGGACAAAGGGGCAGAGCTTTAATTAACCAAACTCTCAGGCGTACGTTATTTTAGCGTTTGCCTAGCACTCTGAGACGGGCAGGTGTTATTCTCAGTGAGAAGATTGAAATGTGAAGGGGTTGAGCGACATTTCCCAAGGTCGTATGCTTGGGTGGGTGGGAGCAAACGGGGCTTTTGTGATAGGAGATAAGAGTCAAAGGTGACTCCAGATGCCCTTTTTTCCCCCAATCTGCCACAACTTCAAAGACATCTAAAGGTCTTTTAAGTAAGTGTTTCTCATGTGTATTAGAAGGCTCTAGCTTCCAGGCCTGAAGGAAATGTGGCTTGTGGCCTGTTGCCAATGCAGCACATCTGTTCTAACACGGGGCAGTCGGCTAGTACACAGGTGCCCTCCAGTACCACATACTGGGAAAGATCCAACCCATAGGAGAAAAGCTCATTTGTTTCTGAATCAGCAACACCCCAGAAAAATCTTTCCCATCAGAAGTACGGAGAGAGATTGAAATCAATACTGCGTGGGGTGCCTGGGTGGCTCAGTCGGTTAAGTGTCTGACTTCAGCTCACGTCATGATCTTGTGCTTTGTGGGTTTGAGCCTTGCATCAGTCTCTGTGCTGACAGCTCAAAGCCTGGAGCCCGTCTTTGGGTTCTGTGTCTCCCCCTCTTTCTGTCCCTCTCCTGCTCACACTGTCTCTCTCTCTCTCTCTCTCAAAAATAAATAAAACATAAAAAATATTAAAAGAAAGAAATCAATACCACTTGTAATCAAAAGCACTATTTTTGAAACCTGGTCCTGCCATTTAGCTAGCTGGAGTGGCCTTAGAAAAGTTATGAACTATGCAGCGTGTCTCCATTACCTTATGTACAAAGTTCAATAAATGAGGGTTACCCATGATTGTGAGAGCAACTTATAAAATAATAATGACGTGGCCAGACTTGACCTGATTCCTCCTGCAATTGAGTGCTTGCAGATTGCAGATATGGGAGCATTAAAATGAAACACTTCATAGTTACTCCAAAACAACATGGTGGTCATGTTTTCTCACAGGAAAAATGCACCTCTCTGCCTGCTCCCCTTTCAGCACTGAGAGGGGATTGAAAAGTCCTGATATCAGGCCAAAGTCATTTTCACCTGCACACTCTTCCTTTGGATGCTAGCCAAAGATATGCTTGCAACACAGTTCCAAAGATCTAGCTCAACATATTGTTTTGATAACCTCATTAACGATATGTATCTCCTGGATGAATTTGTCAAATATTATACACTTAGTAATTAGTTATTTACTGGTGGACATTGAACATCATAAATATAGAGCTTTGGAACAATAGAGCTTTTGGAATCAGAGTCTGCTAGATCTTAAAGGAGTGTGCAAGATCACTAACAGATACTCACTTACTCTAAGTCATTTTTATAACCATCAGCTCTTGTTAACAGTTTCACCCCCAGGTATTGCTTACTTTTATCAAATAGCAGCTAACTTTGACGAGAGTTCATCCTCTGTGCTGCCTTCCTTCCATACAAAGTGTAAGGCAATCCTCACTACCTGTCCACCAAAGTCAGCCTTACCTTCTCATTTTATAAAGGGGGAGGCTAAGACTCAGAGATTTTAATTAACTAGCCCAACACTGACAGAAGGAGTAAAATTCCAAACCATATCCATATGACTCCCTAAACCATACTCTTCTAATCACAATATAGGTAATTTAGCATGCACATTTCTAACAGTAGATGTCCCTATCTATCTATCTATCTATCTGTCTGTCTATCTATCTATCCATCCATCCATCCATCCATCCATCCATCCATCCATCCATCCACTTTACATCTCTTTGTATTTTTTCCTAATAAATTGAATTAGATGCAAAAACTAAAGTATAGGAACTGTGTCTTACACTGATAAGAGAAGTTTCAACTTACATATGGGATCTTAGCCTCACAATTTCGTTTCACAACCGCCCTCAATCCATTGATGCCACCATAGTTCCTGCGACTGAGCTGGAACCCAAGACTCCAGTAGAGAGGCAAGGATGGTCGTCCGATGAGCTGAAAAAATAAATATATGCACGGCTAAGCATTTCAAAAAATACTGTTTCTAGGACCATATCTGACACAGAAAACATAGAAAAGTGTTTCCAATTCACTTTCTATAAAGCCCCCAGATCTAAAAATTTCAGATTCTAAGAGTAATCTCCTAGGGTGATTTGCAAAATTCTACAACTCATATCCTTCTTTACTAAGTACCTAAATGTGTTATCAGCAACTGCAACATTACAAAATAATGGGATTTGCAAAAATGATTGAATAATAGCATCATACTGGGAGGAAAAAATAATATTCGTTCGTTCGCTCAGTAAATATTTTCTGAGTGTTCACGATGTGGTAAAGCATTGGTGTAGGCACTTGGGATATAGTGGCATAAAGCAAACATAGTTCCTGCTCTCACAGAAATGAAAGGAAATACATAAATGCCTAATATAATTTCAGATAGTGGTATGTGCTAAGGAAAAAAGGAATCAGAACTGATAGGATTATGAGTGGGATAGTTGAAGAAATACTGGGCTATGTTTAAAATCCGGGTCTACATGGGTGCCTGGGTGGCTCAGTTGGTTAAGCGTCTGACTCTTGACTTTGGCTCAGGTCATGATCTCCTGGTCTATGAGTTCGAGCTCCTTAGCAGGCTCTGCGCTGACATTGCGAAGCCTGGTTGGGAGTCTTTCTCTCTCTCTCTCCCGCTCTCTCTGCCCCGCACTTGCCTGCTCTCCATCTCTCTCAAAATAAATAAATCTAAACTGAAAAAAGAAAAAAGTCCAGCCTACAAGTTGCTCAAGCCAACACTCCAAGAAAACCTCAGCCACAAGCCTGTCTCACATTGATCCCTAGAAGCCGCTGTCGCCCCATGTGACAGTGCCTCTGAATCCCATACCGTTTCTCTGCACATCATTAATGGCACTTATTATAAGGTGTCGCCTACTGTAATTATTTAAGACTGTGTCATACTTCTATTTGATTATAAATTAGCTGGTATCTGGGATCATATTTCACATGCCTGTGTGTGTCATCTTGAACAAGTCACTTCATCGTTCTGTACCTAAGTTTTTTATCTGTAAAATAGGAAGTTCAGGCTAAATGGTATCTAAAGTTCTTTCCTATTGTATAGTTTGAATCAAAACTAAGTAGCACAGTTCTTTTTACATAGTTTCTTTTCACTAAATTTTCCTTATTGAATGAATGAATACATTCTGCTGATTTGTGGCTGTTGATCTTGGAATGACTGATCACACATTGATGGACCATGATATCCTTGAGAACAGGATGGTATCTGACTTATTTTTGCCTTTCGCAAGCCTTGCATAGCACCTCTTTAGCATGCAGAAAGCATGCAACAAACGTGCATCAAAATAAGCGCACGATGAATGAAAGACGCACAATCCCAGCATTCGGAACGGATAGTTTACATAAATTTAATTTCTTCTTCATTTATAATGAGTGTATGAGATAGTGACAATCAATTATAACTCTCTGCAAGCAAAGCCCTTACCTCCAGGTATTCCTGGACCACTTGTTCCGGAGTGTTTCCCAGGAATACATAAAAGTCAAGGATGCCCCCAATCGTGCGGTAAGTGATTGCAGGAGCAGGCTGAAGGGTGACCTCTGAAAAGATTAAAATGAGAGTCATTAGAACTTCATGGTTGCAAAATATACTTCGCTCTAGAATGTGAATACCTGAGCTATCCAAAACAATCTCAGTCTCATTTGGAAAGAGATGAAAATCCCATGTTTCTTTTTTTAGGTGATTGCTGAAGTTTATCATAATATTAAGTGAGTAAATACCAAGAAAGAACTGATATTTTTAAGAGAAAGAAGAACTAATTCTATTTTAATCTGGCAGTGGAACAATACTAACATCTGGAATCTGGGAGTTAGATGAGTTTAATTATAATTTACAAAAAAAAAATAAGTCCTTATTAAGGGCTCTGTTTGTCCAGGAGCTAGAGGGGGAAGCTTCTGGAGTGGGGAAGGATTGAGCTATGAGAAACACAGCCTTGGTGCCTATAGACAGACTGACAGCCTGGTTTACGTGTTGAAATCCACGGGTATCTTTGGGACCTACCTGTCAATGGATCTTATTATCCACAGAATATTATGGAAAACATTGCATCCAAAGAGAACCCTGAAGCAGTTTTCAATGCAAGTAGCTTTCAGCAGGAACTGGATTTGTAACATGTTATCCTACTTTGGGGTCCCTGTTTCTATAGAAGCAGTGTAGGTGAAACACACCTTTGCTTAAACAGTGATCTGATCATGAAAGTCGTTTTTATAAAAGCTGCATCCCCAAACATATCCCTGCCAAGATGAAAAGAAGCCTCATACCCATGGCATTACTGTTCAACAGAAAAACCCCAAAAGAGGAGCCGCTGGTGTCTTCGAGGCACAGGAAGAATGTATGAGCTCCGTACAGATTGATCATGCCCTGTCAAGAAAAATGATAGGAAATCATAGTAGTATATGTTAAAAATGTTTTTATTTGCCCTAAAACAAAAACCAAAATCTGTGTACAACCTGTAGTTGGTCAATACTTGATGTAGTTTAGTATTGTGTCAAAAAAGGTATTGGTGGGGCGCCTGCATGGCTCAGTCAGTTAAGCTCCTGACTCTTGATTTTGGCTCAGATCATGATCCCAGAGTTGTGGGATTGAGCCCTACACTGGCCTCTGCCCTGAACATGGAGCCTGTTTGAGATTCTTTCTCTCTCTCTCCCTCTCTCTCTGTCCCTCACCCCCACTTGCTCTCTCTCTCTCAAAAAAAGGTTTTGAAATGGTAACATCATTTGAAACATGGATAAACAAAATATGGTATTATCCATACAATGGAATTGAGTACTATTAGTAATAATAAGAAATGAAAAACCGATCCATGCTACAATGTGAATAAACCTCATAAATGTTATGCTAAGTGAAAGAAACAGACACACCAAAAAAAAAAAAAACCCATCCATATATTGCATAATCTTATTTATATGAAGCACCCAGAGAGGTCAAATCTATACAGACAGAAAGTAGATTAGTGATTGCCCAGGGCTGACATGGGCACTGAGGTGGGAAAGGGGATCAGGTCTTTAAAAAGTATAAGGGATCCTAGTGGGGTAAGGAAAAAATATTCGAAAGCTGGATTATAGCTGCACAACCTGGTAATGTGCTCAAAAAGTTGTATACTTAAACAGGTGGATTTTATAGTATATAAATTGTATCTCAGTCAAGTTATTTTTCTAAATTTGGAAAATATCTGCAAAGACATACAACAAAATGTTAGCAGAAGATGATGTTAGTTTGAGAAAGTTTGAATTTCTTCTTTATGCCTGCTGTAGTTTCTACTTTTTCTATAGTTATTATATAATACTTAGGTAGTAAATAAGTTTAAAAGAAAAAGACATTGAACCTGCCACAGGGCTGTTATGAACACTGATATAAAAAGAGATAATGTGTACAATAGTGAGTGAAAAAGTGAGAGGGAGAGAGAGAGAGAGAAAGAAGGAAAAAAAGGAAAAGAGGGAGGAAGGAACACAAGATTTTAATCTGTGATTACGTAACTCAAGAAATTTTTAGCTATAGAAAGCTAAGTTTAGTGTGATCCTTAGCATTCCATATTTGTCAGGGTCCTTGAGCAAGTGTTTTAGTGAATGTTCTGGCTATTGCTTTTTTCACTTTGTTTCATTCGGGAAGTGGGCTCCCTTGGTTGCATCAGATAGTGGTAGGTGGACCAGTTAACGGGCTGTTTTATTTGTTCATCTCCTGTGGAATATGAATTGCAAAACTTCAGTCCCATCCCTCCCTTGCAGCGTCCATCAACCAGCACCTCTTGCACAGGTTTAGGAAACACTGTCAGCACAATGGAGACCTCAAGACATGCTCTGCAATCAATGCTACTCAAAGTGTCCTTCACGAACTGGAACCTCCCCACACGCTTACTGTAAGTGAGCAACAAGGAAAGTACCAAAATCAAGAGAAAGTTTAGGAACTCTTACAGAAATTAAAAGAGTAATTTTATACATTCCAATTTAAAACCCAAGCTTATGTTTTCTAAATCTTTGAGTAATCCTGTTTCATTTTCCTAGAATTAAAGAGAGAGAGAGAGAGAGAGAGAGAGAGAAAGGAACTGATCCTTCTCCACAGCTAAGTTCAGAGACACTGCTCTAGAACAGCTTTAACATCCATGTGGTTCCCTGTGGGTCTTGTAAAAATGCAGATTCTGGTCCACTAGGTCTGAGTAATATTAAAGCTGCCAAAAGAAGTACTTTTGAGTCCCCAAAGTTCTACTGAGGATAGCTCCTGCTGAAGCTCTCCCCTAGGTACTATTCAATTATTCCTGACAGAGTTATTTTGCAGAAGGATTTTCTAGTATATATTAGGCTGTCACACAGTGGATAATTATATTTTCCTTTAAAAGTGAGATTTTTAAAAAACTAATTTATTACTAATCGGGAGTTTATAAACCTCAAGAACTAGTATTCTCCAGCACAAATAGATCTAAGTTGGGCAAAATAATATACGGATGTAACTCTGTGGGTTGCCTGACCCCAGGTCACTGTCTGGAAAGGAGAGAAGGGGCTCCTTCCTGTGAGCACCAGGCAGGAAGAAGGGGGGCTCACGTTGGTGGGGGTGGCATCCTGAGTGAAGATGGGCCAGGTCTTCCAGCTCATGTTGTGGCGGTACTGCTGGTGCACATGTTCTCCCAGCCCTTACACGGCAGCGTTGCTGGGCAGCCGGAAAGACAGCTGCAGGTACTGATGGGCGAACTGCAAGGGCCCGATGCTTGTGTCCAACCTGAGCCACAGGGTAAGGACGAGAGTCACCAACCAGCTGTCTCTGCCAAGAAGCTGTCTGCTCCTCTCCCTATTGACTTCGAAACCAGTTGTTTCGTGCATACTCTCATCCACTTTCATACTACCTTTGGAGGCCTTTCTAGGGTGTCTCTGATTCTTTATTTCTAGAGAAGCGTGACACCAGAGACATGACATCAGAAACTCATGTTTGGATGTTTGGAGGAAGAGAGCAGAGGCAACCTTACACTTGCATCTACTTCTTGCCAGGCGCTACTCTGGATGCCTCAAATATAGCTCAGTATACGGAGCAACAGTGGACCTTCTGATTCCCTTTCTACGGAGATGGAAATTGAGGCCGAGGTGAGATACCTCACAAGGCTAACTGGTGACTTGCCAGTGTCAGAACTCGACTACAGGTTTTACTGACATTAACCCTTGTATTTTCTGCAGCACAATTTATGATTTATGCTCAGGCTACTCTTAGGTTCTTCCTGACAAGTTTCTCAGGACATAAAAATTTACATTGATAGACAATGAAGTTGAGTTGCAAAGTGAATGGTAATCCAAAATAATGATATTTCCTACTTCAGAATATATATTAACTACAAGTGTTTTTTTTATCTAACTTAGTACACCAGCACATTTATCTTTTAGTATGCTGTGCTCTGCAGTCATGACAGATTAATAGTGTTAACGATTTATAGTAAAATTTTGACAGTAAAATTTGAGGTTCAAATATTTTCCCCAATCATACTTATCTCATCACCCACCCCCAGTAAGTCAGAGTGAATGATACTGAGACTATATATTCAAAGATACACAAAGGGTGCTGAAAAGCTCACAAGACTCTTCTGTTGCTGGTTCGTATGATCTTGATGCTGAAGGGGTCATGAATGACCTCTACGTGATAGTTCAAATCAGAGGCATTAACAGTCTTATCAAGCAGGTTCGTATTTTCAAGGGAGACTTCATAGCGTTTGTTATCCTTATCAGTGATCTGTCAGAATAAAAAGAGAAAAAACAACTCCTGATAAGACTACTTCTGAGGTGCCTGGGTGGCTCAGTCGGTTGAGTGTCTGACTGTTGGTTTCTGCTCAGGTCATGATCACTTGGTTCATGAGTCGGAGCCTCACATTGGGCGCCAATGTTGGCACTGCTGGGATTCTCTCTCTCTGCCCTTCTCTGCTCAATCTCCCCCCCTCCCCATAAATAAATTTTTTAAAAAATGATCACTTTCTTGTAGAGCTACAAAGGATTTTCACTCTCAGTGAGAATAGCTTCTACTTCTTAACCCTGTGTTTCCTGACTTATGAGAAAAAAAAAATCACCCAATCATATGTCCCCCACAAAGTACAAAAGAGCTTACCCATCCCATCAGAAGATTCCTGCAGAGGGAAACAGAGGCAACTTCTGCCTCCATACCTCTATGCAGTGTCTAAAGGAGAATGATCAGAAACCAGAGTAGGGCCATGGCATTCTTTAGAGATATATTCAGTGGTAACCGCCAAACCAACCTTAAAATGAAAACGATTGGATGTCTGATAGTCAGCTGTGAAGAGGGTGTCGGTGACATCCTGTCCAAACAGAGATGGGGATGGTAGCCTTGTCAAGTGGGCAGTAAATCCTAGGAGTGGTAGGGAGGAGAAGCAGCTTTAGCCTTTATTTTGCAGTTAGTTTATGAGTCGAAAAGAATTGTTCTCTGGGACCTCATTAGGGCAGTACTCACCTGTCGTCGTATCATTCTGTCTACTCTTGACCTGATAGCCCCAGTTCCTAGAGAAGAAGCACTTTGGGGCTTCTGCATGTGACACAGGCTTCCAGCAGCATTTATATATCCATCTGCAGACATTCTGTAACAATGGCACAGTGTTAACATTGTACGAAATGAAGCAAAGAAAGTACTGTCTAAAAGTGATAATCAGTTTTATTCCAAGAAGAATTTAAGATAGGTCATTTTGCATTCAGTCATATGTTCATTCTTCTTTTATTCACACATTTTTCCAGTCATCTAATACGGATTTACTACCTACCAGACAAGGAGCTGATAATACATATAAATAACAGTTCTTGCCTTCAGAAAACTGACAGTTTTGTCTAGTAGTAATGCGGACATACACATCAGCCATTGCACGCAGCCTAGAAGCTGCAAGTGGGGTGGGGAGGGCTTCTGGGTAGGTGAAAGATGAGTCCAGTCCTAATGCACGAGGAGAGGTTAGATAAGTGAACATGGAGCAGTATTCCAAGCAGAGAGAGCAGCAATGTAGGGTTCATAAAAACCACAAGTTCATCGTACCAAGGCCAAACAAGGCTGGAGGCTCACAATATTCATGCCACAAGTGAGCTGGACATCAGACAAACCAGTTTAGACTTTCTCATGAGGAAGAGTCATGGAAATGATGAACAATATGGCATAAAGAAATGCATTTCTAAGATGGAGGAAAACGAAAGCAAAGAGAAATAGAAAGAGGTTAAGTTAGAACTACAGTAGAGGGTGACAAAAAATCCACAATGTCCACAGGGTAAAAATAAACCATGTATGGTTCCTCAGAGTGGTTTGGTTACAGGTTTTTGAAATGAGTATCATTTGGTGAGACGTTTTTTCTATAGGTCCTACAACTTTAAGATTAACTTCCATGAAAATGGTTTTGTTATAATAAAGAAATAAAATAGGCAGAAAATTGTTGAAATAAACATAGGCATCCACCGTTTTGCCCAACTAAATTTACAGGAGGTGACGGAAGTATCATTAAGAAAAGAATGCAAAACCATTATAAAAAGCTATAATGCAATTGGCAGACCAGAAACGCAGGAAATAGATTTTATCAACTCTAGGGAAAAATATATTCATAGCTTAAAACACAAGAGGAGAAGAAGAACTGACTTCTCCAAGCCAAGTCAATGTGGAGAAGTAGAAGAGAACTGGGGGCATTGTTTTGGATGATTAATTGGGAAGCTCCAGTATGAACACTTAGCTGCCCAATCTGACATTCCTTACAGCTATTGGTAAGCTCTGGCTAATTGATGGGCATCCTGAAGTATTTGTTTATAGGCTAAAGGAGTTAGGCAAGATGCTAGGAGCCAGAAGCCATGGCAATGCACCAGCTAATAAGCCAGCCCCCCTTATAGCGAGACAAGTACCCACTTTCTCTCTAGCACTCCTTTCCTTCTCTCCTAAATACTCAATGAGAGTCAAGGTAAATAGGGCAGGCAGTCATAGATAATTATATACAAAGATGACAGTCAAGAACCACCAAACATGAGAGAAACCAACACTATGGTAGGCACCAAACTTAAAAAGCAAATTAAAAAAGAATATGTAGCATAATTTGTGTTAAAACAAAACATATTAATATATGTGCATAATATATAAATATATATTCATAAAGAAAGTAATATCTATTGATAATCAATTTTGTATGCAAATATAATCATAAATATATGCAAAAGCATAGAAAGATCAAGACAAGGCTACACACCATGCTATTGAATTGATTCTGGGAAATATCTCTGGAAGTAGAGAGAACATTATGAATAAGGAGGGACTTTCCCACTTTACTCTGTATGTAACTATAATGTCTCAATCCTTCTTCTTAAGGGAACGTATCCAGTATAAATTTTATGATTAAAGAAACAAAATAATATGTCACAGTACTACTCGTTTGGAAAAGGTATCTCAGATGCTAGCATCTGATGTAATTGCTGTGAAAAACCACACAATATGAATACAACTTAAACCAATGTCTCATGTCTATTATAAACAAAGCAATCACATCATAACCATAAAATATTCTTAAATGTAGCTACTAGTTCTCCATATATACAGTCGATATTCCTGCCCCATCCTCTCCAGATAACAACATCAAAATAAGCTGGAGGGGATCAGCGGAGAGTTTGTGAGTTCTGGGTAACCTCTAGATAACTGATATTCCTAAGTCTGAGGCAGACATTCAGTCCTTCTGCTACCTCTGAAACTGAGGTTGGTAAAGTCCAAGAGGTCAGTTTCACTGCCATAAACTGTTCCAAAGTTTATAGACCTGTATAAAAAGCAATAAGCCAAGAAATTCAATACCTTCAGATAAATACAGTATTTTTGAATGCAATCTGCCATAACAACTCACTTCAATTTTAAGCCATTTGGAGTATTGCAGATACCAAAGGTCAAATCTTTGACATAGATACATCTCCTTCTTTTCCATTACCACTGCCACCACAGACAGTAATATAGACCCTCATAAACTCTTCCCTGATCTTCAGCAGTTGACTCATGACAAATCTCCCTTTCTCTATTCTTCTTCTAACACCAAAGTTTCCCAAAGAGTATTCACCAGTTATCTTTCCGATAGACTTTTATGCTGTCTTCCATTCAAATTATTGACAAATAGCATTTGAGAATTGACTTGGAAATTATGTAATCCAACTTCTATTTGCTATAAGTGCATCTGAAAGATCCTTAAGTGCTGTGATTGACATGTAGCTACCTCCTTCCAAAATCAGAAAATTCACCTTCATAGTTAATATTTTATTACAAAGTTATTTCTTCTGTTTAGTTGAAATCACTCCCCAGAAAGTTCTATTCTTTGAAATTTACTGTAGTTGCATATTGCCTTTTAGATAAAATATCTCTAACTATATTGAAAAATAAGAAGGAAAACGGATTCTTAGTGTCTCATTACTAGACAAGAAGAAGAAGTGCATATTGGGGGGAAAATGTTTCAACAATGTTTAAAAATAAACTAGAATAATTAATAAACTTAAGAAGGTTTCTGGTTACAAGATCATTATTCAAAAAATCAATTTTAAGTCAACATGCCAACAACAGCTAAATGGAAAATTAAAATTTAAAACTATTTAAATAAAGTCAAACATCAAATAGCTAGAAAATATTTGGAAAAACTTTTTGGACATCTACACTAAAAACTTCAAAATTAAAAATCTCAATAAATGAAAAAGTATATCATGATCCTAGATTAGAATATTCACTCTTGTAACTATGGCAATTCTTCAAGAATTAATCTCCACATTTTATGTGAACAGAATAAAATCTCTGGCAGATTTTGTAAGGAAACCGATGATTTAGAAACTGACTGATTCTAAAATGTATTTAGAAATCTAAAGGGTGAAGAATAAATTAGGCAATCTTGAAGAAAAATAAGAATGATTTAGAAGACCTATACGGTCACATACCAAGACCTATTATAAGGCTATACTAATTAAAGAAGTGTGGTATTGGCAAAAGAGTGAACTAACAACAGAACAAAATAGATATTCCAGAAACAGATCCTCACATATAAAGACAGGTAATTTACAGTATAGTTGCCACTACAATGCAGAGAGGAAAAGATGGTGGTGATGGATCTATTAAATATTTTAAAAAAATGTTCTGGACTCCTACCTGAGAACATACACAAGAACCAATTCTAGATTGATTAAAAATCCAAACTTGAAAAATGAAACAATGCTTTTAGAGGAATACATAAGAATATATTTTTCTAACCTTGACATAGGCAAGAATTTTTTAATAGAATACAAAATGCATATTAAAACTTGATGAAGTGGATTTTATTAAAGCTAAGAACTACATTTCATCAAAAGACACCGATGGGTTAAAAGTCAAACTACAGAGTAAGAAAAGGTACTTACAATGTATATATCTGATAAAAGATTTGTATTCAGAATATATAAATGATTGCTATAAAGCAATAAGAAAAATACAAACAGCCCAACAGAAAAACTAGTTAAGAAATTGAAAAGATGCATCACAAATATGATTGTCCATGTAGCCGGTAAGTATATTAAAAGGTGTATAACTCCATTAGTCATGAGAGAGGTACACAACATAGGGAATATAGTCAATAATATTTTAATAAGATGGTAACTATACTTATCATGGTGATCATTGTGTAATGTATAGAAATGTCGAATCACTAATATGATCATAGTGTTAACTATATTTCAATATCAAACTTTTTAAAGTTAAAATTACATTTAAAAACAAAGAAAAAGGAGAGAAGACCAACAGTAGGTTAGGATATAGAGCATCTGCTATTATATACTGCTAGAGGGAATGTAAATTGGTACAAATACTTTGAAAAACTATTTTGCAATATCACTGAAAGATAAACATGTACATATTCTATGAACTAGAATACAAATGTAGACTTAATAACTCAAGAAGAAGAACTACAGAAGCCATTTAAAAACAATAGGAAATTTCAGCTGGCTAATTATCTTATCAATACATTCTGACACAAAGAACATAAATATGTAAATATAAAATAAAATAAATACAATAAGTGTAAAATCATCATTATAATAAAAGAAGCACCAGGTGGAAAATAGAATGGATTGTATATATAATAGAAACTAAACATATGAAAGATTTAGGGAAAAATCCTCATAATGCATATGTAATAAAATGCATATATTTTTAAAATGTTTATTTATTTTGAGAGAGGGAGAGAATGAGTAGGAGAGGGGTAGAGAGAGGGAGAGAGAAAATCCCAAGCAGACTCTTCACTGACAGCGCAGCCTCCATGCGGGGCTCCATCTCACAAACTGTGAGATTATGACCTGAGTCAAAATCAAGAGTCAGATGCTCAACTGATTGAGCCACACAGGTACCTATAATAAAATGCATAATAAGGGAAACATAAAACCCAACTGAGAAATATACATATATAAAAAAAGAGTTGAAAAGGAGAGATTTCCTATGTTTATAGAATGGGAAGATTCAAAGTTATTGAGATATCAATATTGCCTAAATACTTTTAAAAAGGGGAGGGGGTGCCCGGGTGGCTCAGTTGGTTGAGTGTCCCACTTAGGCTCAGGTCATGATCTTGCAGTTCGTGAGTTGGAGCCCCACATTGGGCTCTGTGCTGACAGCTCAGAGCCTGGAACCTGTCTTTGGATTCTGTCTCCCTCCCTCTCGCTGCCCCTTCCCCAATCACACTCTGTCTCACTCTCTCTCAAAAAGAAATAAACATTTAAAAAATGCCCAAATAGAACCTAAAATTCTATGCGGTCCTAATTAATATCCCAATAGGATATTATGGAATATAGAATATAGAATATGAGGGAAAGGAATAATATCTACATACACACAACCTTTATGATAAAGTCATAAGTCGCAACCAAGCAGTGTTCAAATAGCTGATATTCTTGTGTTAGCTACTCATAAACATAAAAAAAAAATCTATGTTTTTAGCACATGTTCATTTGGGTGATTTGTTGCCAATACACAATTTTAGAGGGCTCTTCTTATAACAAGTCACTTGAGTTCTACAAGTGACTCAGTCATCCATATATGCTTGATTGCCTCTCTTCTCAAGGAATACATAGTCTAGCCCACATTTACTCTTCCCATAGCTATCCTTGGAATCACACTTATGACACATTTAGCAACACTGGGAACTCCTCCTCTACTCTGGATTTTAGACCCCCATGAACCAACACTCTTAGTTCCTCATCCTCTTCCTTTGACCATACCTTGCTTTCCCCACTTCCACAGGGCTGCTGTTTATCTAAATATGGCAAGAAAGAAATAACTCCAAACAAGTCACAGGCCCACAATCTACTCTACCACCACCCTCTGCACACTTGACATACTCATTTCATTTAAATAAAACCAATGAGAAAAAGATTGTCTCTTTAACAAATGGTGTTGGGATAAGCGGATGGTGACATGCAGAAGGATGAAACTGGACCACAGACACAAAAATAAATTCAAACTGGATAAAAGACCTAAATGTGAGAAAGGAAACCATCAAAATCTTAGAGTAGAACACAGGCAGCAACTTCTCCGACCTCAGCTGTAGCAACTTCTTACTAGACATGTCACCGAAGGCAAGGAAAACAAAAAGTACACATGAACTATTGGGACTTCATTAAAAAAAAAAAAAAAAAGTTCTGTACAATGAAGGAAACAATCAGCAGAACTAAAAGGATACTTACGGAATGGTAGAAAGTATTTGCAAATAGCATATTGGATAAAGGGTTATTATCCAAAATGCTTAAAAAATATATTAAACTAAACACTCAAAAAACAAATAATCCAGTGAAGAAATGGGCAAAAGACATGAACACTTTTCTAAAGAAGACATCCAGATGGCTAACAGATACATGAAAAGTTGCTTACCATCACTTGTCATCAGAGAAATACAAATCAAAACCACAATGAGACACCACCTCACACCTGTCAGAATCGCTAAAATTAACAACACAAACAGCAGTTGTTGACAAGGATGCAGAGATAGGAGAACGCTTTGCACCGTTGGTGGGAATGCAAACTGGTGTAGCCACTCTGGAGAATAGTATGGCTGCACCTCAAAAGGCTAAAAATAGAACTGTCCTATAATCCAGCAATTGCACTACTAGGTATTTACCCAAAGGATACAAAAATACAGATTTGAAGGAACAGATTGCACCTCGGTGTTTATAGCAGCATTATCAGCAAGACCCAAGCTATGGAAAGAGCCCAAATGTACATCAACTGATGAATGAATAAAGAAGATGTGGTAGATATACACAATGGATTATTACTCAACCATAAAAAACAATGAAAACTTGCCATTTGCAATGATATGGATGGAGCTAGAGAATATAATGCTAAGTGAAATAAGGGAGAAAGACAAATACCACATGATTTCACTCATATGGAATGTAAGGAACAAAACAAATGAACAGATGTGGGAGAGGAAAGAGTGAGAAACAAACCATGAGACCCTTAAAGAGAGAGAACAAACTGAAGGTTGATGGAGAGAGGAGGGTGGGAGATTTCGCTAGATGGGTATTAAAGAAGACACTTGTTATGATGAGCACTGGGTGTTGCCTGTAAGTGATGAATCACTGAATTCCACTCCAGAAGCCAATATTGCATTGTATGTTAATTAACTAGAGTTTAAGTAAAAATTTGAAAAAAAATAACACATAGGGGAAAATACGAAAATGGGAATAGAAATAATATAATACAATGCAAAACTTAGAGATGACAAAATATAATAGAATGATAGGAGTTCAGAAGGAAAACATATATATTCAAAGATCACTGTATGTCCTCTTAATGTCCACAGATTTATATACACGTATAAAGGGCTTTTTCTGATCACCTCAAATAGGCAAGAACACTTACCAAGCTAATCAACATGTGAATAGTAATGCTTTATCAAAAATCACCATGCCAATCAGCTACTGACAGAACAAACTGTTTTACTATCAGTGAAATTTCTATAGAAATAAAGTCATTTCTTTAACTGATAGAGGATAGATAGATAGAGAAATAGATAGAGAAATAGATAGATAGATAAATAGATTCCAGTAGACCAAAGGCAGAGAGCCTATTTCTCTGACCTCTGTCACCACTCGGCCAGGAACACAGTCTATCCTCTCTGATTCAGGGATCTCTGGGCAGTCCGGAAGAGATGAAGTCCCTGCATAGGAATTAAAGGAAAAAGTTGAAAATTGGTAATGTAATCACAAGTCCATAAAAGGTGTAGGCGGAGTTACAGACTTCTCAGCCAAATTCTCTATGCAATGATCACTAGTAGCTGCTTATCTACCTGTGCCTATAAGTGTTAAACACAGTTGCTTTTTGTCTGGTGGCTTTTTATTGAGATATAATTCACATGCCATAAAATTCACCCCTTTAAAGTGGTTTCAGTTTTTTCATTCAATGGTTTTCAGTATTTTACAAAGTTGTATCACCAGCCACTATCTAATTCTAGAACATTTTCATGCAAAAAGAAATTACATATCCATTCATGGTCACTTCCCATCCTCTCTTCTCTCAGTCTTTTGCACTAATCTGCTTTCTGTCTCCATGAATTTACCTATTCTGAACATTTCATATAAATGGAATCATAGAGTACGTGGTCATTGGTGTCTGGCTTTTTTTCACTTGGCATAATGTTCTCAAGGCTCATCCATGTTGCAATATGTAACAATACTTTAGTCTTCATTTTATGGCTCAATCATAACCACTGTATGGATATAATACTTTAAAAAATTTGTTCCAAAGTTGATGTACATTTGTGTTATTTCCACTTTTTGACTATTACATAGAATTCTGCGATGAACATTCACATACAGGTTTTTGTATGAACATATGTTTTGAATTCTCTTGGTTATATATCTGGAAATGGAATTGTTAAGTAATATGGCTGACCTCTGTCTTTTTAACTTATTTTATTTTATTTATTTAAAAAATTTTTTTAAATGTTTTATTTATTTCTGAGAGAGAGAGAGACAGCATGAGCGGGGGGGGGGGGGGGGGGGGGGGGGGGGGGGGGGGGGGGGGGGGGGGGGGGGGGTCAGAGAGTGAGGGAGATTCAGAATCTGAAACAGGCTCCAGGCTCTGACCTAGCTATCAGCACAGAGCCTGAGGCAGGGCTTTAACCCACAAACTGTGAGATCATGACCTAAGCCAAAGTCAGACACTTAACTGACTGAGCCACTCAGTCGCCCCTATCTTTTTAACGTTTTGAGGAACTGCCTAACTTATTTCCAAAGGGACAAAAATTCCAGAGTTTTACATTTCCACAAGCAGTGTGTGAGAGTTCCAATTTCTCTACATCCTCAACTCTTGTTATTATCTGTCTTTTTTATTATAGACATTTTACTGGGAGTGAAGAGTATGTGATCTTGACTTACATTTTCCCAAAACTGATTATAATGAGTATCTTTTTCATGACATATTGGCCATTTGTTGATTTTTTTATGAAGAAATGTGTGTCCAAATTTTTCACTCATTTTAAAACCTGGATTATTTTTCTTTTTAGTTTTGAATTGTAAGATTTCTTTATACATTCTGGATACGAGAATCAGATATATTATTTGCAAATATGTTTCCCATCCATTGTGCTATCTTTTCACTTCCTTGATGGTGTCTTTTGAAGAACAGATTGCTTTTTTTTTTTTTTTTAAGTAAAATTTGCCTATCTTTTCTTTGGTTGTTATGTCTTGGGTGTCATACCTAAGACACTGTTGTCTAACTCAAGATCAAAATATTTATAACTATGTTTTCTTCTTAGAATTTTATAGGCTTGGCTCTTACATGTCAAACTTTTATCCATTTTAAGCTAATTTTCTTATGTGATATCAGGTAGGGATTCAGCATTAATTTTTTACATGGGGCTATGCTGTTGTCCCACACATTTGTTTTTTGTTTTGTTTTGTTTTTTGCTTTTTTCCCCACTAATTTTCAGACCTCTGTGAGATAAACTAGAAAGATATTATTGTCTGCATTTGAACAAAGATCTTCACTCAACATTGGCTATTCTTATTTTAGCTTTTATCACTTTTGTGAACCCCTCTCCCCCACCCATCAATGTAACATCAGAGGCAGGATCTATTTCAGTAGGCTCCATGAGCCAGTCAAAACCCAGAATTGCATCTGAGGCTTGAGTCAACAGTGGACATAATAGGTACCCTTTAGGACCTTTGTTTCTATTCAAAAAAGACCTCAAAACAACTCTCCTACCTTTATGGCTTTACAGTTGTTTGTATATATATTTAAGTAAAAATTTATTTTAAAATTGGATTGAAGACTTAAATGTAAGACCCTTGAAACTGTAACACTCCTAGAAGAAAACATATGAGAAACAATTCATGAGATTGGTCTTGGCAATGATTTTATGGGTATGATCTCAAAAGCACAGGCAACAAAAGCCAAAGTGGACAAGAGAGACTACATCAAACTAAAAAGCTTCTGGTTACCAAAGGAACCCATCAACAGAATGAAAAGTTAACATAAGAAATAGGAGAAAATATTGGCAAACCCTCTATCTGAAAATGGGCAAAATTCTAAAATGCACAAGGAACTTCTACAACATAATAGTAAAACCAAGTCAAAAAAGAATAACCTGATTAAAAAATAGGCTATGACTAGAATAAGCATTTCTCTAGACATACAAATGGCTGAAAGAAAAGATGCTCAATGTCACTAATAATCAGGGAAGTTTAAATCAAAATCATAATTACATATCACCTCACACCTTAGGATGGCTATTATAAAGAAAACAAGGGGTGCCTTGCTGACTCAGCTGGTAGAGCATGTGACTGTTGATCTCAGGATTGTAAGTTTGACCCCCGTTTGGGGTGTAGAGATTACTTAAAAATAAAATCAAAAACCAACTTGACAATAAACTATTTGTAAAAAATAAATAAATAAATAATAAAATAAATAAAAATAAAAATAAAATCTAAAAAGCAATATAAAACCAAATACAAGAAGTGTTGATGAGAATGTGGAGCAACTGGAACACTTGTATGCTAATGGTGGGAATGATGCAAACTGGTGCAGCCACTGTGGAAAACAGTATGGAGGTTCCCCAAGAAATTAAAAATAAAACCACCATATGATCCAGCAATCCCACTTCTGCTATCAGCACAACTGAATAATTCAAAAGAATGGAAATAAAAATCTCAAAGAGATATTAGCATCCTCATGTCTATTGCAGTGCTATCCACAATAATCAAGATGTGAAAACAATCCAGGTGTCCATCAACCAATGACTGGATAAAGAAAATGTGAGATCTCTCTCTCTCTCTCTAATAATCTCTATTAATAATAATAAATATTAAATATATATTTAATTATATATTTAATATATTTTATATATATATATATATATAATTCAGCCATGAAATAAGGAAGGAAATCTGGTCATTTGCCATGGACGAATCTGGAGGACATTGTGCTAAGTGACATAAGCCAGTTACAGAAGGACAGATGCTGTATGATTCCATTTATAGGAGGTATCTAAAATAGTCAAATTCACAGAAGCAAAGAATGGAATGACTGCTGCTAGGGCCTGGGGGGAGGAGGAAATGGGGTGTTGCTAATCAACACGTATAGTTTCAGTTATGCAAGATGAGTAAGTTCTCCAGATCTGATGTCCAACATTATGCAATAACAATACTGTATCGTACACTTAAGAATCTATTAAGAGGGTAGGCCTTATGTTAAGTGTTCTTACCACCACATAAAAAATACATTAAAAAACCCCTCCTTTTCAATTCATGTAAACATATCTTCAAAAAGCATCTTGAGAGTAGCCCAGTTTATTGAACAGTTAAAAGTAAACTATTCTGCATGAATTAGAGTGTGATTTAGGGTAAATGCAGGTGTGACAATCTAGTTTTATTTTAACTAAGAGAAACTACTTATTCATGTATATTGGAGAATAATCTCATGGGACTTGTTACCCAAAACAAGTTTTATAGGGAAAAAGTAGTAACAAGCTAAAAATAGTTTATATCCATGGTTTTCAAATTTTCTTTCAAATACATAATTGTTCCTAAGAAGTGCCCTAATGTTTACTGGGGACAGTGGTGAAAAGAGACTGAGGAGGTAGGCTCTGCAATTTCTTTTCAATGCATGTTAAACCTCCATTTATAAAGTGAACTTCAGCAAGAAAAAGAAACTTCAAATTCTGTTTTAATTAAGGATAGGTTTTTGTATTACACACTGTTATTTTGTTATTTAGAGTATTATGTGTTCTTGGAGTAGAGAGCATTCTGTTTGATGCTTCTGCATGAGAGAGAACAGTTTCAAAGCTATTGATGAAGAAATCATAGCTATTTCAATCAGAATATGGGCTGGAAGCTAATTGTAATGGATATATTTAGGCCAAGTTAATCAGCCCTCAACTTACTTGTAATGTAATTTCCTTTTCTGTGATGTAATGGGATTGGGCACTCTCGCCTCAATTGTTCTTTCTATTCGAAGGCTCTACTACTTCATGACTGGATTAAGAACAGAAATCCAATGAGCCTAATTTTGCATCTTGTTAAAATTTCATCAAATGAGACTTTCATCAGGAGATCCTGAATATTACTAGCATTAAAGCATTTCCTGCAGAAAAAGAATACCCATCTTTTGAAAATTGACTTAAGTTTAGCTGTGGATGTGGATTTTGAATAATGCAATGTGGTGCCTTGCTGAAGAGTAAATAAATATAATGATGGCTTTGGCAACCAGAGGGAACTTTCCCAACCCTTCCAACCCTGAAGGAACAAGCGTCTTCCTTACCTGTATCATGGAACACCAAAAGCATCAAGAAGATATCTAAGGCCAGTATAATTAGGAAGAAGATGATCAGAAGGATTTCCAACACATTCAGATTCCTTGCCATCTAGACCGACACAGATAATGGGATTTAAGCAAACCACAAACCCCATCAATCCAAAAGACAGGCATCATGATTAGAATGTGAACTCATCTGCAAGATGCCTTGATTATACGCATTCCTCTTTATATAATCAAGAGAATATTGGTTTCCATCCATTACAGTGTTTATAACGAACTCTAGTCTGTGCATCTAACACCTCTAAGGCTCCTGTCTTTTTTGTATACAGAGGGATTGAGTATTGTCCAAGGAAGGAATGTATCAGACACAAAGAACTGGAGGAAGGGAGGAGTGGAATGGCGTATAGGAGAGAGATGAGGGTTTAATGTGGCTCACAAAGCCCTTCTAGATACCACTTTGACCCTCATGCCCACCCTGGGCAGTAGTGAGGAGGTTATGCTCATGGAGGGAAAAAGTAACAAAACCTGAATTTTAGTCATCTTATTCTAATTCCTATTCCATGATGGTAAGGAGTTTAACTGTTTAGAAGTGACTAAGCCTGTTAAGACTCTTGTAACAAAAATGAACCTGATTCTGATCTCCAGCACAATGCTTGTTTGTATGGTCACAGCACACAAACTCATATAAATTTTGTGGCTCACAGTAGCTCATTGATCATGCATACATAGACCCATGTTATAAAACATTTTGTGTATTGGAGTGTGTAGTGAACTGGGAACCAAAGAAGTTTAATTCTTCTCCTGGCTTGCATACCAACAGATGGGTATTTTGGCTCTTCGGATGTGCATTTCTTCATCTACAAAATGAAGTCAGGTTCTGGAGTTACTCTCATTCTTCTCTAATTATAGTAAATCTCACATTCTAACTATGCCTCACAATTCCATGACAGCCCTCACCATGTCATTTCTTGGCTGACTCTTTACCATCCCCACCGCGCTTCTTACTATCCTGCACATTGGCTATTCCCTGGAATTTATCACCCCCCCCAGAACTGTTCCACTTCTGAACTCTTAGTCTCCAGTTCCTATTTCCTGAGCAGAAGCTCATGCCCTTGTACTTTCTCACTGCATTTGCATTGTTCCCTTATTCTTTGATCACATTGAGGCTTCTGCTGTGTTCTGTTTCCTCTTGATCTCTTAATCCCTCCTGGCTACTATCCTTCCTTGATGGAGGCCTCAATAGCTATTTATTTCCCACATCTTCCTTGATTCCTTATCAGCTAACTGAACCTATACAATGAAACCATTGATCCAAACTTCTGCCTTCTGGCTTTGTGCACTCAGCCCAGTGTAGAAGTCCCTGGGTTCATAATCTGTCAAATATGCTGGGCCTTCAAACTGAATGACAATCTTGCCACCTTCTCTCATTTTTCACAGAGGAAATTTCAAACATTGATCCTTGTTTCAACCTCCAACCTTTGTCACCTATGTTCTTACTCTCAGCCCAGTCATCTCCAACATCACAAACAAAATAACTAGTTTACAGAAATAATTTCAGCTTGCTGCTTCTCAACCCAAACTTTTCTATAAAAATGATCTATATCTAGGTAAATTCTTATCTTTTCCCCTCTTCTCAGTGGACAAGTTTTCCCTTCTCTTGTCTAAGCATAACCCTTGTATCTATACTATAGATCTCACACATTTTGAATTTCTCAAAAAGCTTGTTTCACCAATTATACTTCCTCATTCTTGAATTAGCAACCTCTCCCTCTGAATGTGCTCTTCCCCTCTCAAAAAGTATTTCCCAAGTCGCCCTAAACTCTGGTGATGATTCTGTGTTCTTCTCTAAGTACCATCATAACTTCCTTTTTCCTTCCACAAATAACTTTCCAAAAAGATAATTCCACCCTGCCTACATTACTTTCCTTGCATAATACTGGCATGGCTTCTGTTTCTTATATTCAAATGACTCTCCTCCTGTCGAGGGTCACCAGTGATTTAGCTGCTGAATACAATGGGCACTCTCTTAATCATCCAACACTATCAACCACTCCCTCCTCTTTGAATTTCTCCCAGTTTGGGTTCCTTGATTATCATTCAATCTTGGTTTTCACTGATGTTTCTGGCTCTTCCTCAACTTTCTTTCAATCCCTTGTTTCATTAAGTATTGCTTTCAACATAGGTCCACTATCCTTTCTCTTTTAGCAAGCTCCACCTCTCATGACTTCATATTAACACCTGAGGACGGACTGCAGAGCTTACAGATCTAGAGGCTATATTTCCAATGGTGGAATTTCAGGCAGTGAATGAAGTCTGGGGAACCCACCCCATGTGCTCACAGCACCTGACTTCATTTCTTATACACACAGCACATGGCTCACTATCACAGCAAACACACTGTCACTCTGTTTCCCTTCTCCAAGCACCGTGCCTCTCCATGGGGAGACTTTGCTTTCCAGCCTCTAGAAAACCAAGGCCGGTGCCTCTTCCACAGCTTCTGAATCCTCTCAGGGGAGTAGGCTCAACACCTGTGGCTCAGGACGTTCAGGATCCTCTGGCGACAACCCTAAGCATTTTCCTGCCTCAGGACTATTGCCATCCTGACAGGGAGTGGGTAGGTGTGGATTCTGAAAGGTAGAAAGTCTTTCCTACTCAGAAACTCTCCCTACCCAGAGCCACTTTTCATCAAACACAATTTTAGAATAGTTAAAATCCAGATAATTATTAAAAACCTTAATGATTATATACCATTTCCTTTCCTTCCCAAAGAGATGCATCCATTGTCCTTCCAATCCACACCACTTTTACCTAGCTTCCAGGAGGTCCTGTTTATTCTGTCTTTGTTTTCCCCCAGTGAGAGAGGAACATCTCACATTCAACCCTCCCCATCTGTTACACACACACACACACACACACACACACACACACACACACACAATCTCTCTAGTCAGCCTGTAATTGCATGTACTATCTCATCCCCACTCCTCACAGTCTCTGGGAAAGGAAGAAAATATCAGGTCCAGAAGAAAAGTGTGAGTTGTCCAGATCATTTAGCAGAGGGGACAGGGACATTTAAAAGAAAAAAGGAACACTACTTATTCAAAGCACCACATGCATTGAGAAAAGTACTCACCTCATAGCCGTATCCCTTTATTTGCTATGTCTATCCCTCGGTGGTTTTTGAGGAGCACTGAACAAAGGTGACAAGGCTGATGTAGCCAGCTTCTGCCAGGATCCATTTATTGCCCTGTAAACTCGATGGTGATTGGAGGAGACGAGTGTTTTCCAATTGACCATAAAAGGGCCCTTGCTTTCCCTGTAACTTGGAGAAAGCTCTGTTTGTTAATGAAGGAGGAAGGTAGGGTTTTATTCTAGTAGTTATGCCTCTTCTGTGTTCCTGTTCATCTCCAATTACTTTGCTTGTCACATTATACTTGCTTCACTGTCCATGTAGCCTAAAGAGCTCAGGAGCTGGATCTTGACTTTTGTATCTGGATCTCCTGTGCTTAGCCCAACATTCATAGATAGTTTTAAGTATATAGCTATTTGTTGAATATGGAAGTGGAAAAATTAATAGCTCTTGGTTCACTACATTGTTCTTTTCTCCATTTTGTCTCCCAAAGTTCTCTTGCTAACTCAGCTTTCCACTTTTTTAAAGTTTATTTATTTATTTTGAGAGAGAGAGAGAAAGAGCACTTGCATACGTGTAGTAGAGAGAGAGAGAGGAGAGAGATAATGAGATCATGACCTGAGCTGAGATCAAGAGTCCAGTGTTTATCCGACTGAGTCACCCAGGTGCCCCATTCACTAATTTAAATTAGTGTTCCCATCAATTATTCTAAATAAAAGAAGCACCATTAAAGTAGAAATTATATAATATTGAAGACACCTTCACTGGAAATTTGTCATGTTCTTTAACTGATGGGCATTTTCAGAAAACTTCTAATATTTAAGGAACTTTCCACCTTGAGAATTATGCCTCCCCAAGGAAAAGGCTAGAAATTCTCGTTCACAATCTCCCTTTCAACCAAGGTAGAGACAAGTGGCCTGTGCTGGGTCAATGAAGTGTGCCTGTGACCCAGAAGAAGGTGAAGAGAAGGAGGTATCGTATGGCATCCAGGATGGTGAGGAGACATTGTTTTGGAGGCAGCAGGGACAGGCGACCTAGTGGCACTCTATGCTCAGTATTGAAAGTACAGGCTGCCTGCTCGACATGTGCTAAGGGCAATGGAACCTCCTACCAGGTAATTGGACTATTGTGCCTAGCCATGTAGCCTACAAACCTGACGCTCTTAGCCCTCTGGACTTTGAATGAGTCACGAATATCTTCCAAAAATTGTTTTCTTCTTAAGCTAGCCAATGCAGGTTTTTATTGAAATATAATTCACATACCATGACATTCACCCTTTCAAAGTGTACAATTCAGTGGTTTTTAGTATATTCACAGAGTTTTGCAACCATCGCCACTATCTTATTCCAGAACATTTTCATCATCCCAAAAGGAAGACCTCATTCATCCATGTTCACTCCCCATTCTCCTCTCCTCCATCCTTGCAACCACTAATCTACTTTCTATCTCTATGAATTTCCCCATTCTAAACATTTCATATAAACAGAACCATACAATGTGTGACCATTTGTGTCTGGCTTCTTTCCCTTGGCATAATATATTCAAAATTCCACCCTGTTGTTGTAGGTCTTAGATACCCTCAGGTCTTGGTATCTTGTTCCTTTCTATGGCTTTCAATTACATTGATACACTACATTTTGCTTATATACTCATCAGTTTATGTATATTTGGGTTTTTTCTACTTTTTGGCTACTATGAGCAATGCTGCTCTGAACATGAATGTACAAGTTTTTGTGTGGACATATATTTTCAATTCTTATGGGATATACCTAGAAGCGAAATTTCAGGATCCTATGGTAGCTCCATTCTTAACTTTATGAAGAATTGCAGAGCTGTTTTCCAAAATGGTGGCAGGTAACATTTTACAGCCCCATCAGCAATATATCAGGATATGTAGTATATGTAGGATACTGGATATCCTATATATAACTAAATATAGGGGCATGCCATTATTTAATGGCATCTAAGATCCATAA